TGCCAAAAGAAAAAAAAAACTTTCTGCATTGTTTTTGACAATTGGGTCAAAAATCATGAAGTTTTGAATAATGTAAAACAAATAGTGTTTTCATATGCTACAGACTGACAATACGTGAAATAGATTGGGGTTGAATTAATTGTGGAAACGTTGAATAGAACAATGCGAACTGTGTCTTTTTGCATAATTCATGGCGAAAATCAACATGGTAAAGGAAAAATCTCAATTTGAAAAAGGGAAAATTAAGCACTTTTCAAAAACATCCAATGAAAAAAGCACCTTTAAGGTCCATTAAAAAAGCGAAAATAAGCACCTTTAAGCACTTTTTAAAAACCCTATGCACTCTGCTTTATTAAGTAACAAAAAAAACATACATGAAATATAACATTTATGTCACTACATGAAAACCTGAATTTTATTAACAAATATGTATATTTTGATTTTTTAAAATATTCATTAGAATAGGTTATTATGTAGATTCTCAGAGAGATTAATGTTTTCATGCAGATTCTTGGTGGTCATGTACCTTTCTTGATAGCGCTAATTAAATAGATGAGAATGTAATTAAATGCACGTATGAACATTCACTCTCAATGAGATACAAGATGGAAAACATTAAACATATTCTAATACAAAGTTACAGTTAACATATATCAGCTCACAGTTCTTTATAGCTGATGCCATATCTCCCCCTATAAACATTTAGTCTACTCGGGACTTTCACAATTCTCCAAGAATGAGTAACAACAGCTTTTGAAGATTTATCTTTCTTCTGAGTCAAGACTGATGAATCTGGATCTCATTCTGGCAAGCTGATTTTGTAATTTTCTTTAGAAGAAGCTTCTTCCAAATCATCTTTCAGCAGATGAATCTGTAGCTTACAGGGTGGCCACTCAAATGAGATTTCAAATTTCCCTGATTTTTCCTGGTTTTCCAGATAAAAATCTTAAAATTTCCAGGTCTTTGTTTTTTTTCTGATAAAGTGTAGGATGTGTACAAGGAAAGTGTCTATATTATAGAATATTTTATTCAAAATGTTATTTTTTTAACACATCCTGAAAAAAAAAATTTTCTTTGACAATTTGGCAAGATTTTTTATTTATTTTTTAATGTTTTGGTACAAAATTTTGAATCACAAATCATATATTGACCAACAAAAGAGTAAAGTTAAATATTAATATATAGTTAGTTCTTAAAAAAACTCTTTTGCTCGGTTTGCTGAGAAAAAATAATTCACAGTTTTCTTTGAATGGGAATACAAAAGCCTTCAGAAAAAGAGTGCAATATAAAATCTATTATTATTAAATTATAACCAACTAATTTTTGGAGAATTTTATTAAGTTAAAAATACAAAAACCTTTAGTCAAAATGGAAAAAAATTACCACGAAAGCATCGGAACAAACTCGAGCCATAAATGGATTCAGCCCAAGGACCGAATTTAAAAACAGAAGCTAATATCCTAATCCCTTCTTCCACCTCCACCACAATCTTTCTTAAATTGCAGTCCCATAGCGGTCAAAGGTTTCTACATTTTGTTTAGCAACCGTGGGAGAATTTTATGTTGCATTCTAGTTTAACAGAGCTGTAATGGAGCAAATTTTGATGCAAGCAAAGTATCGCTAAGTTGATGATATTTCAACTGTTTGGAGATACATTTTCGTCTTAAAAAAAGTGGGTATAATGGATGAAAAAATTTAAATTAAAAACATTAGTAAATAATTTAAATTAGTGAAATTAAAAAAGTTATCAAAGAAAAAATTTCCAGCTTTTCTTTAAAATTCCCTGATTTTTATCCAAATTTCCCTGATTTTTCCAGTATAAAAAAATTTCCTGATAATTCCAGGTTTTCAAGGTGGGTGGCCACCCTGTTTTAATAAAATAATAGGCTATAAAATTTTTTGGAAAATATTTAAGTTGAAATAATTTTTTCAGATAACCATTTTTTTTAAAACAAATTTTAGTATACAGTTTTTTCAGCTTTGCATCAATCCCATACTAAATTCTGCAAATTAAAATAAATTTTTAAATATGCTGCATTTGAACTTACAAGGGAAACTAGGGAATAGTGACTCGCCAATTTTGAAATAAACTAGTGGGATGTATGCCTTATGAGGAATAATTTTAGGGGGCAACATTCGTTTCGGCCCATGGAAGGTCCTGTGAGAGATAAAAAATAATTCAATATATAGAAAAATCAGTATTTTATTACTTCAATGCGGACTATTAGTCATTGTAATTATCTCATACTCCAATTAATTTTGTGGTACTTTCACGTACTATATAATGCATACTTACTGTCAAAATTGATTTCGAAAATTTTATATATCTGTAGTTTTTCAGAAAAACCTGTTAGGTTAATTTTTAAAAAAAATGTACATCAAATTTCTAAAAAAAAAATCTTTCAAAAATTTTTTATGTATGTGTTATTATGTATGTAATTGCAAATCAATTAATAATTAATTTGCTAATTAATTTATTAATTGGCAAATTAAATAATTAACCAATTAATTACAAATTAATTGAAGTATGAGACAATTACAATAACTAATAGTCTGCATTGAAGTAATAAAATATCGATTTTTCTGCAAATTGTATTATTTTTTATCTCTCACAGGACCTTCTATGGGCCGAAACGAATGTTACCCCCTAAAATTATTCCTCATAAGGCATACATCCCACTAGTTTATTTCAAGATTGGCGAGTCACACTTCCCTAGTTTCCCTTGTTAGTGACATATAAATTTAAGCTTCTATTTAATTGTAAAATAATCAATATGCATTTATTTTTACCTATAATATGTTTTTAATCTCATAAATGAAGGAGGAAACTGTGGCTATTGCCCTGTATGCTAAAATCAGAGTTATAAAACTTTAAAGGACTCCTCAAAACTATTATACACTGCTCAAAACAATTAAAGGATATTGTAAGTCTTGTATTAAATAACGGTAAAAGCAAATATTTTTTTGTTGTATAAAATGGAAGAAGAGAGTTAGTTACAAGTGCAATTTTTTCTTATTTTCAAATTTTACGGTATGAAAATTTTGAGTTTGATGTTGAAGACGACGCTTTAGCGGCAGCTAATTTTATTTTGCTTTTAACTTAATGTAATATAAAGCGGAAAATAATGATCGATATTCAGTAAGCATGTTGTTTCGGTGAGTGTGATTACTCAACAAAGTCATTTGACCGAATCAGAAGCTTGGGGAGTTGTTGGCCGGTTAGGAGGGAGCCAAACACAAGCCGAAGTAGCAAAAGCCATTGGAGTTTTATAAATTTTGATTTCCAGGATCTGGAACCGTTTTTTGGAGACTGGAAATGCAGGTGGAAGAGAAGGACTAGGATGTAGGCGTGCAACCACGCCCAAATGTCAATAAATATAAATGTCACGAAACTGTGAAATATAAATGTCACAGTTTCGACGACACAAACTGTCCAAAGCCGCCTTCACGCTGTAGATCTGTATGCTTGCCGCTTGTAGGGAGTGGGCAACAGAACATGTGAACTGGAGGAGAAATGAATGGCACAATATTCTTTTCTCTGATGAGTCCCGTTTTTCTGATCCTGATAATAGGCTTGTTTTTATCTGGAGGGAAGGTGGCACAAGAAACAATCCTGCACGTAAGTGCTAGATTTGACGTTGGGGGAGTGATGGTCTATGCTGGCATCTCCATTGATGGAAGCGCTGATCTCCATATCATTTGAAATGGAGCTCATGTTGAATTTTCCGGTCGCCGATTTAAAGATGAGATCCTGAGACCTATTGTAGTCCCTTACGCTCCAGCAATTGGAGATGACTTCATATTAATGGACGACAATTGCAGGCCACATAGTGCTAACTTGGTGAATGTTTTCCTTTTGGAGGAAAGAATCATACGAATGGATTGGCCAGCTGTTCACCGGACATGAGCCCAATCTAGCATGTTTGGAACATTCTAGGCAGACGAATTGCTGGACGCTTATCACTCCCAAAACTCTCATTGACTCGATGCCTCAAAGGTGTTCAACGTTGCTGGCTGTCCGAGGTTGGAAACGATTTACTTTTAAGGAAACACCTTTTTTTATTGTATGCACAAATTGTGTTCTTTTCCTTTTGCACCCCCAAATTCTGAATAAAACGCATTTTTTCATGCCCAACAAATGTCCTTTTTATCTCATATAGCCTACTACTTCTGTAGATAATGTATCAATCATTCAAATAAATCTCCAAGTGCAAGATCAACCCACAACTTCAATATAATTGAATTGTTTTGAGAAGTGTATATTAATTTCACCATTGATTATATTGCATCTTACAAGTCACTCAAAAGCCAATGTGGTTATTTTTTGTAGTTGTAAATTATAATTGGATAAATAATACAAGGTGCTGATCTTTATTTCCAGGACTAATCAATAAAATATTATGTGAATTACATGCTTATTTTATATGTTTCAAAGTTTAACCTCCAATAGTTATAAAAGTTTTAGAAACAACACTAATCTTCTAACAGTGGTTCCCCATTTTTTTCAGCTGTTTAACCCTAAACTATCAACCTTCTTTCGGTAGAAATCCCCCCCCCCCCCCCNGATACTTTATTCACAATTGCGAATGAAATTTCTTCATTAATTAATGAAAGACTATTGATTAATATAAAAATATGTAACAATCTAAATTTTATTAATTATTTTGAAAATATTTAATGAATGAATCCTTTTTTCTTTTCTTTAATCAATATTAGTCTAAAAAGTTAGTATTATATAAGTGGAATTCATAGGTCTGGAGCTGCATCTAGTCTAGTTCTTAATTTGGTTTTACTGCATGCATGATCTGAAATATGTTTTCTATGAAAATTGGAACAAAAAAGAAAGAAAATAAACGTTGAAAATGGTTATCAGAGAAACATACTTCTTTATTATTGAGTTTGACTATTTTTATTCCATGCAAAATACTAACATTATATTGTTATTCATTACATTATATTGTTATTATAAAAAACATGGTTTTGAATTTTTTTTCTCTAGCATTTCAATTTAATTTTGTGAAGAAAAAAAAATGAAAATATTAAATAAATAATGAATTGGATATAAATATAATTACAGGTTTTTAAAATTATACTTGATTAAAAAAATTTCTAACTATCAGAACCCTAGGGTTCCGCAGAGCCGCTGCTATAGCAGATTGTTTAACAATCTAACATTCTTAATATCTTTGACACCCTTAAGAACAATGTTCCTTTATCGAATTTTTAAGCTTTACAAACAAAAAACCAACAAAGAATTCTTCTGAAGAATACAGTTCATCTACTCAGCCTTTGATACTCAAATATTTCTTTAAAAGGATAGGGTTTAAAGAAGTTGGAAGACTCAATTACGACTTATATTTTTGTTTTTTAAATTTTTACATTCATGGCAAGTGGTTACTTTAAAACATAAAAAAAGGGTACGCCATGTTTTTAGGAGCTAAGTCCTATATATTAATAGCCACACTTTGTATTTCTTCGGTTCTTCCCAATGATTTAGAAAATATTGAGAATTAAAAATAAGCTTCATTTGAAAAATTGTTACTTATAAAATTTAACTTCCGTTAATTAGGAGATCATTATATCTGTTGAGCAGTGTTTAAAAACAGGCTAGCCATCGTAGCCACAATATAATCAAAACCATATGCAAAATGAATATGAAACACTTAATGCAATTGCTACAGCAAGTGGCTATTTTGAAAGAAAAATAAACTGTAGTCAAGTGATTAAAAAATAGTGTACACTTCCTAATTAATCATAACAGTCCAATTACATGCATAATTTGTTATATAGAATTACTACTAAGTCCTATTAACAATGATTTTTATGAAAGATTTATGATGTATATCAATTGTTTTGTGCAATTCACTTTAATTTATTAGGTTGGCAAAATTTGCTATCAAATTTGAAAAATCGGTTTTGTCTTAAAATATTAAAAAAAAATTATTATATGAAGGTAATATAAAATTTTAAAATGCTCTCAATTATATGTTATTTTTATTTTAGGTGGAGACTGTGTGGAGAGAAACTTAACTACCCAGCAACGGTTAGACTAAGACATACAGTTTAAAATTGTGTATAATATATAATTTTTTTAACTCTGATCAATTACTATTTTGATGAGCATGGTTTTTATATCAATAAAGACACTAATATTTAAAAAAGATAACATTGAGTAGGATTATTTGAAGTAATGCATAACATCAGTACATTTCAAATAATTTTATTTTACATTTCTTAACTTGTATAGATAAAACAATATTCCAAACAAAATATTCAGTATTTCAATAATCATACATAAATCAGTAAGTATAAATGTGGCCAGCACACTAAAAAATATAATAAAAAAAATGACTTAAATTATACAATACTTTGTGACTTAATTCAATTGATAACCTTTATGTACAATTTATTTATATATATTCATAAAATTAAATACGGAGAAAAAATCTGACCTTGATATTCAACAGAAGATAAAAAGCTCTAACTCCTTGGAATACTTTATTAAAATATAAGGAACTTCATCAATGCCCATTTCAGAGTAAAATAACAAACAAAAAAAATATTATCCAAGTTTAATTATATTTGTAACTTAATTTTATTGCATATACTTATGCATTTCAAAACTTTTAATTTCAAATTTATTGAAATAGAAAACTAAATTAGTGGGGGGTAAGCCATTTACATAAAAAAAACGTATTGCTAGTTGTACTATAAATTTTAAAAAGGCATTATGCGATAGAATATTTATATGTAGTTATATATTTATTTTATGTTAAATATATATAATTTTCTATTTTAAGAATCTATAGAATTAGTCCTCATGAGTTCTTTATAACAATGACGACAAACTGGAACAGGCCTGCGATGATGGTGACCCTTGAGAGGTATTCGCTTATCAATACACCGGATACAAAAAACCTCTCCACAACTCCAACAGTGAAACTGAAATAAAAAGAAAGTAATTCTCAATATAGATTTGCAGCAATTATAATTTCATAGGTACAAATAATATTATCTGAATTCAAATATCAGTATCAAGAGCTTTGTTAACATATTGAAACTTTGGTAGTAAATGTTTTGAAATGAAACTAGTTAAAATTTGTTACTTGAAAAAGTTTTTTAACCATCTTTTCACACAAACATAAAAAACCTTTTCTGTAAATTTAAAACTACTTTGCTTTCTATAGGTCATAATTTTTCGTAAACAGCAGACATATCAAATCTCATAACTTGAATAATGGTTTTAAAAAACATAACTGGAACAACAAAATATTTTTGGAATCACTCTGTAACTTAAGTTGGATCTGACTGCAGCCCACTCACTCAATGTACAGTCAGCTTTGATGTATACAATTGCTGTCATACTGAGAATAACTTAAGGTAATTCTTTTTTTATGAACAGTGTACTACAAAATATTTTTTTATCTACTGATTGAATCTTCACTTGCTAGAGGGAGTAGCCTCAAATATTCTAATTAATTAGTGGAAACGATATTTTAAGTTATGAAATCAGACACAAAAACATATTTTCTGGATAAACATACTTTTTTTTGACAACCTCAATCTGGGAAATACGGTCCTAATAGTTTGGTCAAAAGAGAGGTCCAAAGTTTGGACCCCTCATGTTAATTTTACTTTTCGTGTACTTCGCCATATCAAGAATCAAAAAATGTTTGCACACGATTATAAAATTTAATTATAAATAATTTAATTTTATAAGGCAAAATACAAACAGAAGATTGGTCAAACAGTTTCTGTCTGAGAAATTGAATTTTAAAGAAATCTCATTATAAAATTTGATTCCCCAGGAACTTTTTGACCGACTTGTTTTTTAGACTAATATTAAATAAACTGTTAAAAATAATTTTTGTCATGGCATTATCTTTTGATAAACAAATTTTATAATAAAGTACAAATTTTTTTTAATTCGCTTAAAAAATTCTTGAGATATGACAAAAAACACGAAAAGTAAAATAAACGTTAAGAGGTCCAAACTTTGGACTGCTCTCCAGACCAAACTATCAGGACCATATTTCCCAGATTGTGGCTACCCCCAATATTTTGAGGATAAAGAATCCTGATCTGTCAAAAAGGTATGTTTATTCAAAGAAAGTAGATTTTTGTGAGTGATTTCGTAGCATAAAATATCATCTGCACTATTTAATTAGCATATTTGAATTTACCACCTCAAACCATTAAATCCAAGTACATGAAGATCCAATCATTAGATCTAAAGTTTTTCGGGGTGATTATTTTTCTGCACACTATACCGCTTTCAGTTTATTATAGCTTGCACAGAAACAATACACGCATAATAAACGTAATAGAGCGGGATTAAGAAAATTTGTGTTCTTTTTAAAGAAGGCTTTTGGATAATGAGTTAATGAAAATTCAGCATGACACATAAAATAAATAAACTTTTTTTTTTGCTGATATAACACCTTTTTTATAACGAAATGAAATACAAACCTTTCTACTAAAATGGTCAAAGGGTGTGGAACATATACATTCTTTGACATTTCTTAGAGTTTTCCACTCTATTGCTACAGATTCTATTTCTTCCTGAAGTTGATAAAATAGAGAATTTCCTAACTCATCTTCTGGAGTATCTATAATTGAAATGTTTGAATTTAGCATTTTTTCGATGCTTTGTGCAATTTTATACTTATTTAGCATCAGAACTTGAGTAACATTTTTATACAAAATTTTAATCATTCATTGAGTCACATACTTAAAAAGAAGCATTTCAACCGACTTTTTTGCTCTGAAGGGCATAACCAGTTTTCCCACATTATTAGATATGCAACAATGTGTAAAGGCTAAACATTTTTCACAAATTAGTATGAAAATTATGATTCACAACCGAAATAAAAAAAATATTTCAATTCATGTAAGGAATTTATTTCGCATTATTTCATTAAAGATTATTGTATTACCACGACCCATTGGCAAAATGGGTCGTGGTTTGGAATTGATGGCGTCCTCACACTTTTCAACTACAATAATCAAGAGTAATAGTAAACAGTGTGCATGCGTTGTTATTGCATGCATTGCAATGGCGACCGCTGCTGTTTGATAATTTTTTAAAACTGCGGCGATGCTTAACACTTTTTGAATGCGATTTTTTATCACTTTTTCTGTTTGAAAGCATTGTTTAATTTTTTTTTCCGTCTTTGATATCAAAATTCAGATATACATAAATGTAACTCTAAAGTTAAAATTGAAAAATTCTGAATTCACATTACAAATTATATATCTTTGCTGCAGTGGAGCCATTCAAAATGTGTACATCTATATTTGTTGAAATTCATTTAAAAGAACTTTAAATCTATACCAGTTAAGTTTACAACATGAAGTTCTATCTGCAATTTAAGAAAACATGTAATTAAAAGTTGTATTATCAAAAACAATGAACATTAAAATGTTAATTAAAGTAAACTGCTGACGAATGAAAAACAAAAATGTGACTTTTTAAAGTAAAATTATGTGCATCTTTCTTTGAAATGCAACTTAAAGAAATGAGTTTTATGCTTTCACATACATTTTTAAAAAATTTGTGGCAAGGTTTGCATTGATATATAAGGTATGAAATTGCTTTTAAAATATACATTACCATTGATTTCTAATATATTTCCATTTTCAAATCCCGAATCTGTAGTATCACCTGCAGCATGATCTGCTTTTGTCATATTCAATTTTTGGGCAAAATCATCAGCCACTCCACTATCAGTCATCGAGCAATCAATACTTTTGCTAGGTGTTTCAGCTCGACCAAGAATCTTCTTTAGTTGGCCAATTCTCTGAAGGAATTTTTAAAATTATATTTGTATTTTACAAATATTCAGTTATAAATCAATAATGCAATTAAGTTTTTAAGCGTGATTATGCCATTTTAATAATGAAATCTTAAAGGCTTCACTCATAACTTAAATTGAAACATGTTAACAACAAAAAAATAAGAATTAATGTGTATTACAAGCATGGACAAACATTTTTTTTTATTTACTACATATTTATTTTACTACTGAAAGTGACATAGTTGTGCCAAGTCATTTCATAATTATAATGCATTTGGCTTAATCTCCCAATTTATTTTAAGCGTAGTTCTATGTATAAGCCCAACAATATTTTTTTCGACAATTCATGGCGATTTGCCTATTTATACATGTATAAATACATGATATGATTCAGATTTATACATGTATAATACATGATGAATTCAGATCGAAACTGTCTGATTTTATATCACTAAAATCTACCATTGTTATTAAAAAAATTAAATCTCTTGGCTGAATTTTTTTTTTAGAGATTTGGGATAAAAAAGTCATTTTAGAGGATCAAAACACCCATTAACAATTCTAACAATAACGTTATAACATACTTTGTTATTAAAATTATGAAACACTTTACTCATTTAAAGAAATTCTATTTAATATAAGCTTTGAGTGATAAAAAACATACCTAACATTATTTGACATGAGGATAAATTATCGAATTTTTATAAATATATAAAAGTTGATACAACAGAATCAAGAAAAATAATAATACTTAAAAATTGAGTATGCCATAGACTTCATGCAGACATTTTAATTTTTCTTTATTTATTTTAATACACAAGATTTATTTCTACTTTTTAGTAAAATAAACTAAATTAGTGCTAAACATTGGGTGGGATTCATCAATTTCACTTTAAACATTTTTTAAACTGTGCTTACTATTTTATATAAAATGAGTTTATATTGGCTTATAAAATTAATATCAAGAACAAGCATTTGTAACAAATATGTTTTTAAGAAGATAAATTTAGCATAATAAACAGAGCAAAAAATAAATTTTCTAAACCAACAAACAAAATATGATTTCCTCCATTTATATATTAACTTCAAAAATATATGTCTTCTTTTTTTATCAAAGTAAAATGACAGGAGAGATAATTATAAATATCTTTTTATTTTCACTTACTTTTTGGAGCAATAAAACATGATCTTCTAAACTAGAAATATGATCTTTTGCAGCAACAAGCATATCTCCTAATGGTTCTCTTGGATGAACACCATTATCGAATCTGTTATACATTCCCCTCCAAAATCTACAAATTTAAGCAATAATTTTTTTTAATCTCGTGAAATTAAAATTTAAAAGCTTTAATAAAAAAGAAATTACTTTATAGTCTGTGGAGCAGCATTTAAGTGTAGTGCATCATCAACATCTCTTCTATAAAGAGGATTTAGAAACTCTGATAAATGGTTCATTAAATATCCCCATAAGGAGTAAGTTCTTTCACTTAGCCTATAATTTTAAAATATATCAAAATTAGTGTATTTTACAACAGATAGAATAAAATAGCTTTGAATTATGAATTCGAAAACAGAATTATTTCATTACAGAAAAAATATTTAAAAAGTGTGTTAAGTTCTCAAAACATAGATTGGATAGAGCCTAGAATATTATTTTGCACTAGAAAAATCATTTTGTTGAAAATACTAACTTAGTTAGTTATACATTATGATTAAAAGTAAAAAAAAGATAAAATGAAGATTGAGGTAAAGGATTTTTTTAAAACCTTTTTTAACAAGTGTAATAATATACTAATGCTTATATTTTCCTAATTAAATTGAATTATAAATTGTATTATTTATTATAAAATAAATAATAATTAGGTTAGTTCATTAAAAAAATTTTAATTACAAAAATTCTTTAAACAGTTTAAGCGAAATATTTTTTATATATATAATTCCATATGAAACAAGTCATAATCTTTGATTTTACTATTCTCTTTCAGTAGAAATATAACAAAATTTTATGATTTTAAATATGTTTTTAAATAATAGATTAAAGTGTGGGGGGGAAAAAAAGACTTTCAAAATTTACATAAAAATTTTAAAATAGACATTTAAAATACTGCTTGACTGATAAATAATTAACTCATCACTAATTTGCATTCGAAAGACCACGGAAATTAAAAAATTAACACAATGTAATATAAGAATTCAACACACTTACCTAAGATCCATTCTTTCTTTCTCACAATTCCCTAAGAAAGTGCCAAACTGACAAGAATAAACATGATCATGAATAGTTAACAAAAACCGTTCGTTAAACTGGAATGAAGTAGGAAACTGTTGAGTCAATTGCCAAACAGCATCAATGAATTGTGTAAATACTGGAGCCACTTCTTTTGGATCGCCCTGAATAAGACCACACCGTTCAGTAAATTTGTGACCAAATGCCAACCATTCCTTTTCAATTAGAGCCTGAAAAGGAAAATAATACATTTAAATCGTGTTGTGCTTAGTAAATGTGTACAAATTTTTCTTATAAATGCATTCCACATACATATCAAATTAAAATAAAAAGATATGTCTCTAAAATTTATGAAAGAAACATTTTATTCCCCAACACTAAATTAAGTTTTAATTTATAAGTAGACAAAAAAGAATATGCTGAAAAAGATAGGAGTGAGAACATTTATTATAACAAAAATAATACTTTCATAGCAATTAACATTTTTTAACAGAAACACTTATGACAGAGATCAATAGTGTAATTGAAAATTGAATAGTCTGCATATGTTTTTTTAATCAAATGACTAGGATCGAATTTTATAAGCAAACAAGACATGGCTAATTTGTGGACAATAATGGACAAGCAAATTTTGACGCTTAATCTTTTTTTCTTTTAGTGCATGGAATGGAATAACTAAAATACTGTAGAAAGATTCTAAATTTATATATATATATTATGTTTTAGTCATTTGTGAATATTAGTATCAAAAAGTCATCTTTTTAGAAAAAAATTGAAAAAGACACTTTACTGGCAAGACCATTAATTATTGCGATAAAAAATACCTTAACTATTTTGAATACTGTATATCCCAGTATATAACCACTTATTTTTGATAATGAGATAGCAATTTTCTTGAATGTTTTATGTATAAGTTAACCGCAGAAAAAACAAACTATGAAAATATCTAAAATTTAAAAAAAAAGAAGTGATAATTAAGATGAGAATGAAGTAGGAACATAGGTACACGGTCGTGTGATAGTGAGTTCATAGTGCATCAGTATTTCACAATGAAAAAAGTCTGACTTTATTACAAGCGAATAAGTCGGCCCCCTGATTTCTGTAAAGGTTTTGGGATTTGAAAACTCAACTTATACACTGGAATATACGGTAGTTAATAAATAAAAAAAAAGTTTATATCTTAGTTTAATAACTTATTTACACTTAATAGTTATTTAGATTAGGTAAAATATTTAATAAAAATTGTTATTTTTAGAAAAATTTATACCCTTAACATTTATTTTCAACTGTTATATAGAGTAGACTTCTAAAGCGTTTAGGAAGCGTGGAAATTTCCGAACTTTAGATTTATTATTTAAACAGAAATGTCAAAGTTACAGGCTCAAAATAAAAAAATGCATTAGATCCAAAAGCACACAGTTTTTCAATTGTTTTATCATCAGTTACTTTCCAATTTGATTTAAAATCTGGATATTTCAATATCTTTTGACACACAAATTTTTGCAGAGCATTGCTACTATTCAATTATAAATTCACATAGTACAGATAGTAGTTTTTTTGGCAGTAATTAAAAGGACAGTTTCCACAATTGAACAAATTTTTAGTTTCTTGATGGTTTTAAAAAACGTAATATTTTTATCATATTATTACAACATGGAAACTCAAAGTGCACATTCGAGTACAAAAACAATCTTGATGTATATGGTGTACAGATTACTTTTGATGTGCGATGAGCTGTAAATTCATGTGGTCTTGTTGATCAGTTTTTGCAAAGAATATTTTAACATTGCAATTTTTTTAATAATAGAATAACGCTACCATTCGGACAGTTGAATAGTCAGTATTTGAAATGCTTGATTTGCAATGCTTTTATTTTAAATCTATATAGTTTTGTCGACCATTTTTTAGTTATTGCTACAGGTTTCCACATGAATTTTTAAATCAAATTTTTTTCAATTCCATGTTATTGAGACACAAATTTCCATGTAACGACTCTAAAAACTAGAAAAAACACTTTAAAACTAGAGTTTAAATTAACTTAGCCAATTATCTGAATTTCAGAAAAAATAATTTCAATTTTAGAGGTTTGAAGATTTTAAAAGTTATACTTTCCTAGAGAAATGCCTGAAAGCAAAATTTCATTATATATATATTTTCCAATTAGACTTTCAATAACATTAGTAAACTCAAATAATTTTATTGTTTGAAAATAAATATTCATTTTTAAAAACATAGTTGTGTCATTTTTTAAAAATTTTACGACAGAAAAAGAAATACAATTACTATTACTTTCCTATTTTAAAATAGCTAAACATCTTAATATTAACAAGCTCAATCAATGAGATTAAGTCTGTTTTTCGAAGGCTCTGTCATAATATGAAATGATGTTTTTTATGCGAATAATATGCTATTTTCATAATTGTTGTGAGTTTGTAACTGTTACTCATGACTGTTAGGCTAAGATAAACCTATCTAAAGCCAGGACTGTCTGCGCTTATTTAGAAAATAGCGCAAAACGTCAATATGGAGAAAAGCCACAGTCAGGGTTGCCGCTCAAATCTGGGAAAAAAATTCCCTGTGTTTTCCCTGTACATGTTATATGCAATATATTAAGAGGAAACAACAATTACTCTGCTCTTGTGTGAGCTATATTAGGCTACCTATATTTATTAGTTTCAATTGCTGGAAAAACAGCTGAACATACTTAAATAATGCTATGGTAAATGAAATAGTTTAGTATAGCTCAAATATCATGGTTAAATACCCCATAGATTACGCTTTAAGTGGTCACCATATTTTAAAAGACCAAAATAAAAAAACAAAATTCCCTGTATTTTTCCAGTTTGTAAAGAAAAAATCAAAATTCCCTGCATTTTCCCTGTTATTTTAGGTGAATTTTAAATTCCCTGTATTTTCCAGGTTTTCCCTGTGGAGTGGCAACCCTGACAGTTTTGTGAAAAGGAAAGGAGTTTGTGGTCGAATTTTTTAATATTTAAAGACTTACTCCTATGCTGCATTACCTGGGCTCATTAAAATTTGAAAAAACTGAGAGTACAGCAGTGAGTTTGCAATTTTCATCTAAGTGGGAAAATGTTGCCAAATTGGCAATTTTAAAAAAAGTTTAATAACATTAAAAATCTTTTAGTTATTTGTCTGTCCTAAAGCCCAGATAATTCTTCACTGCAAGATTATACATATAAATTAAAATCATTGCATTGCTACAAGTGTAAGGCACTTAAACTACGTTTTTTTTATTTTTATTTTACTTGGCGAAAAAGCTTCAAAAAACAGCTTTAAGTACAATGTTCTAAAAATTTCAATTAAAAAGGAAATTACTGACTTGGAAACCAGTAATAGTTCTGTAATATGGATCTTGTAAAAGGGCTGCAAGAGAGCATGTTTGAGCTGTTCTATCCCATCCATCAGAACAATGAACTAAAACAGATGTTCCTTTCTCAAGAGCCTTAAACATGAAAACAACAAATCTCAATACAATAATAAGCAAATGGTTATTGAAAAACTTCTGATAAATAATGGAAATATTTGGATGGACAAACTCATAAATAGGAATTCATTCAAATATGTAATGGTTACAGAACAAAGAATTACTGTACATCTCGGTGTATAAGTTGACCCCTGATTTTTGGTCACGAAATTACAAATTTCTGACATGTATAAATAGACCGCTGAAAAAGCCAAAAATGAAAATTTCTAGTTTCTTGTAAAATCTTTAAAATAAAGGTGAGGAACTTTATATTCTTTGTTATGAGGTGAAGAGGTTTTTTTTTTTTTTTTTGTAGAAATTTATGACAACACTGCTAACATTGAATCCGACACAGATAATTTTCTGGAATTTTTAAATTTTTAGCACAATGATGTGATTTTAAAAGTTTTCATAGTGTTATATTTTTTGAAATACATTTTAATAAAGTAGCTTAACTTTTCTTATTCTTAATTTTCATCTAAAAGTAACTTAAAGAACTTTCTCAAAAAAAATTTCGTATATAAAGAAGTTATGAGAGAAAATGCAAAATAGTATGTAACATATTAAAAATAGTTTTTGAAAAGGATAAACTGATACAGAGTTATTCATATCTATCTCATAGTTTATATTGAATCAATATTTCATGATCAACGCATGTTTTTTACTTTATAACTCTTCGGTAATAAATCGACTTCCTGTTTTTCGTAAAATTATAGGGGTTTGAAAAGTTGAATTAGACACCAAGGTACATAGTAATTTTTTTTTGTCCGGTTAGGTATGATAATTGAAAATACGAAGTTTGTTCAATAAAAAACTTATAGACGATGTTATAGAAATTACCATAGACTGAATTTTTTATGTTCCGCAATCAATCAATTACAAAATATTACAAAAAAATTAAAGAAAATGGACATACTATTCATACTGACCAAATAGATATTTTGTCAGCTCTTTGAATGAGCAAAAGCTGCCTACTTTCGAGTTTCATAAAAACAAACTTTAAAGTAGGAAAAAATAAATAAGAAAATAATCAGTATAATTATTTAATCTATATTTCGTTACAAACATTTATAGAATAAATACAGATAGTTAATAATAACTAAATTACTAATAAATTAACTACTAATTAAATATAAAATTATTAAAATATAATTTAAGCTTGGATATTTTAGTTTAAAACTAGCGAAAAATATTTCAATATTACAATTGCTAATTTTAGTTAATATAACACTAGGGATTCTGAGTACCTGAATTTTCCAAGATAAAGAGATAAATTTCAAAGCAGTAATTTAAAATATCACATTTAATTAGTGTTTTCCTAAATATCTGAGAAATCAATTTTTCTATGATTTACAATTTTTTTCAACATAATTTAATATATATGTTTCAATAAAAATCATACTCACTTCAGCAATAAAAGCAGATGCTTCTAAGACACTTTTTACATGACGAAGCCATGCACAATTTTCCAAGCCACTTAAAAAGGCATTCATAGTAGGAACTTTTAGTTCACATGCTATTAAAAAAAATAAGACACTGTTTTACAACACAATAAAACAATAACACAACACAAATAATATAACTTGAACATGACGTTAGCATGCAAAATCACTTTGCGATTTTAAATTTTTTTTCCCTTTCAAAATTGTCTTTTTTTAATATCATATTAAAGTTCTAAAACACTTCTAATATCATTTCCTGTGATTAAGATTTGCTACCAAGAGAAATTGACAACAATAGAATTATATATAGCAGTAATAGTTACATGAAAAACCTATATATATAAAATGATGACATTAAAAAATCCTTCAGCGAAAAATGTAAGTGGCTTAACATTTTCTTTTAAAATTAGAATTTAAAAATACTTTAAAAATATTACAGGTGTTAGTTCCTTCAATATGCTAACAGATATTCCTAGTTTGTGAATTCTATATAATTTTTAACTTTTAATAATTTTGGTCATTAAATGTAGTACAAATTTCTGTTATACAGTATATATATTTTTTTAGCTACAGAGGCTATTTGTTGATTCAATCAACTTTAATAAATTTTTCCCAAAGACATTTAATAAAAAAAATCTCCAAACCCCTTATCTTTTTAAAACACAAGGGTTTAGTTTAAAAATTTATCTAAACTATTATTTAAGTATCAAAAATCACAATGAGCAAAGTAATTCTTCACAGCAATGACTATTAACTTTCCTAGCTTGCTCAAAATCAACAATTGAAGAACAAAAGAATTAAGTGAATAAAAAAAATAGAAATAAGTGTTAAATGTTTTTTTTTTGTGATGTATCAAAGACATAAAATAACATAACTAGCCTCCAAATTAAAATATACTTTTTTTTATAGAATTAATACATACTATCAACTAGTTTTTGAAGACTATTTCTCATTACATGTATATTTTCAATTCCAAAAAACTGGAACTTGATACTCTTATAGAAATCTTCATTCTCATATCCTTTTCCAGCTGCTTTATTAGCCATAGCATTAATCTAAAATATAAGAGATAAATTTTAAACTACAATTACTTGCAAGTTTTTTTAAAGCATAAAATAAAGATGGCTGAAATAATACCTTAGGGCGTGTATCAACAACGTACATAAAATCTTTATTGGGACTTGATTTTAACATATAATGCAACAACTGCTCATCTTCAACACACCGAGCACTGAAACCTGATAGTGGTTGACTGCATCGACAAATCGCAGCCTTAAAAAAAAATATTCTATTATACAAAACAAAAAATATTTTAACAATTTTCTTTGTAAATCTAGTATTGTGAATAATAAATTATATTGTTAACTCTCGATATAATGCAAAGAATTTAGAGATACTATCACAAATATGCAGATAGACTAACGTAAAAATAAAATATATCAACCTGATTCTTGTGCAAATATGAAAGCACAGGTAATCTTCCACGACTACGAAATCTACTGCTTCCAAGTAGTACACCATTAGAAGCAGAGGCAGGCACATATAAAATCTTTGGATAAGTATCACAAATCTGAAACAGAAATATAAAATGTTATGTTATTATAATTTCCCAAAATAATTTATATATAAACTTTTATTAATTAAGCATATAAATTCTAAGAAAACTACTGCAATATTTATCGTCGCATTAGAAAAAACTATCTATGCTGATCAAAAGGTTTTTGAAAATTATCAAATTCTTCAGAAATGGTACTATTGTATAAAGTATTAATTATAGAAGAAAAAATAGCTTTTCTTGGGCTTCCTTAAAAAATTGTTTGATCAACTTTATTACTTAATATCAAAACCAAAAAAATTAATCCTCAAAAACTATTTTAAGCCTTCATGTATATTTATATGAAGCTTGTTTAAGAGTTGACATGAATTCAATCAGATATTAGATTAGTTAAAAGACCATTTTAATGAGGATTTTTACCATTTTCACTTTTATAAGTTAACTTAGTTACTATGGTATTTTGATAAGTAAATTCCAAAAATATTTTTAATGCTTTTTGATAAAAAAACAAAACATATTTAGTATGCTTAAGGATATATTTAAACATAACTAAAAAATTAGTCTTCGTTACAATTTTCATCTACATTTGAACAGCTGTAAGTTCTCTGTCTATATTTATACATTCTTAACTTTTTTGTCTACATTTTTTTAATATTTCTTGTGTATTTGGTGTCCTTACTATTTCATATACGAAATACTTTAACATATTCAGGCAATTTTATGGCCTATTACCTAGTGACTAAAAGAACAACACCGGAGAACTAAATAGTTTATTATAACTTTTAAAAAATAACATTTTATTATGTTTTGTTTAGAATTATTTTTCATGTTTCAATAGTTATGACATTTGCATTAAAGTTTCTTTTTCCACACGTACATTATTCAATTGCAGAGTAAAAAGTTTAAAATAATCCTTTTTCTTTTTTTTTTTAAATTCTTATGTCACTTTTTTGATGATTAGCTTGAATAATCAAGATCATATGTGAACATTACAAAAATAAATAGATACTTACTTTATAATCTTTATTGAGAGAAGTTAGAGCCCAATTTTGATTTGGGAGTCCCATTCGTGAGAATTCAGCCTGTAAATCAAATTTATTCCAACCAGATCGCTTAGGTAAATCTTCATTTGATGCAGTATAGTGAAAGCAATATAAATCTTGAATATTGACTGTGATAAAAATATTGAAGAGTTTAGTAAACAGATAACTAAATACAAGATAAAAAAAGGAAATGAAAACTGAAAAATAAATCTTTAAAAATACATTGAAATTAATAAACAAGCCTTTTTTTTTAAACTTTGATTTAAAGAAACTATGAAAGAATTAAAAAATATTGAAAACAAAATTACCAATTTTCACTATTATTCNTTAAAGGAATTCAATCAGATATTAGATTAGTTAAAAGACCATTTTAATGAGGATTTTTACCATTTTCACTTTAATAAGCTAAATTAGTTACTATGGTATTTTGATAAGTAAATTCTAAAAATATTTTTAAGGCTCTTTGATAAAAAAAAAAACATATTTAGTATGTGTAAGAATATATTTAAACATAACTAAGAAATTAGACTTTGTTACAATTTTCATCTACATTTGAACATTTGTAAGTGCTGTCTATATTTCTAAATTCTTAACTGTTTTGTCCACATTTTGTTAATATTTCTTGTGTTTCTTGTATTCAGGTAGAAAATTTTATTTTATGGCCTATTATATAGTGATTAAAAGAACAATATCGGGAAACTAAATAGTTTATTATAACTTTTAAAAAATAAAATTTTATTATATTTTGTTTAGAATTATTTTTCATGTTTAAATAGTTATGACATTTTCATTAAAGTTTCTTTTTCCACATGTATATTATTCAACTGCAGAGTAAAAAATTTCAAATAATCCATGTTTTTTTCTTTTCTTTTTTTTAATTCTTATGTCAATTTTTGATGATTAGCTTGAATAATCAAAATCATTGTCAACATTACAAAAATAAATAGATACTTACTTTATAATCTTTATTGAGAGAAGTTAGAGCCCAATTTTGATTTGGGAGTCCCATTCGTGAAAATTCAGCCTGTAAATCAAATTTATTCCAACCAGATCTCTTAGGTAAATCTTCATTTGATGCAGTATAGTGAAAGCAATATAAATCTTGAATATTGACTGTGATAAAAATATTGAAGAGTTTAGTAAACAGATAACTAAATACAAGATAAAAAAAGGAAATGAAAACTGAAAAATAAATCTTTAAAAATACATTGAAATTAATAAACAAGCCTTTTTTTTTAAACTTTGATTTAAAGAAACTATGAAAGAATTAAAAAATATTGAAAACAAAATTACCAATTTTCACTATTATTCACTGAAGGAACCAATAAAATGTTATTGTTTCTAGTATAATACAAGAATTTATAATTTTTGTTCTAGAAATTATTCATACATGTCCTTTATAAGAAAATATGATAAGAAGTAAGGAAAATTTAGAATTGATTTTTACAGATTTTTTAAAATTATTTCTCTAAAAAAAAAAAATATGAAAAAAAAAAACAACACAATGATTTGAAATTTACTACTAATGAAAACACATTTTACCAGTAATGAAATTTACTACTAAAGAAAACACATGTTACACACTGATAAAATAATATGTGTTTATAGGTTTAATTCTGATTACTATTAAGAACATTTACTTTGTTAGGATTATTCTCAACTAGTTCAATTTGTATAAGTTTCTATCTTTTTTTTTTTAAAGGAAAGGAAAGTATATCAATTAATTTTTTATGTGATTTTAAATTTACTTCTAAAATAATTACCTGTTTTTTTTTTTAAAAAAATGCACTTTCAAATGATCATTTTTTTATAATTTTCAGTTTAATTATAGAAAAAAGCTGTCAAGTTATTTATTTTTTTAAAGTTTGCTTAAAAAAATGCACAGAGATTGTTTTTTAACATACCATTAATTATTTTTTACAAACTGCAAATATATGTTCTTATTTTGACAATAAGTGAGAATTACTTTTTGAAATATAAACATAAAATTGTATAAGAGGGTAATTTAAAAATTGTTTAGGATCAAATTCAGTTATTACATAATATTACACATTTTAATAAATTTTTTCGTTGTTAAATGAGTGCCTTTTCAAAACCAAAGTGCCCTTTTCTGTGAAGAAGCTGTGAAGTGTTTCACACAGAAGTGCCCTTTTCTGTGTGAAACTCTGCTTCTCCCTCTCCATGGGACCTGAATTCAAGATATTTCTAAATTATTATGTTATTTAATAAACAATTTAAATGACTTTGATTTACCTTTAGAAAATTAGTATGTATATTTATTAACAATTTCACATCTAGCTTTTTTTTCTTTTGTAGACAAAGTAAAATGTTACAGAATTGTTTGTCTAAATCAAACTTACATGCACTTCAATTATATACAAATCTTATAAATACATGAATGATACATACTGGGTTGTGAAAATTTAAGTAAAGATGTAAATATATCATGACTGTCTCTTTCTTTTGGAATAACAAAGGTCACAGATAAGAAATTTTTACATCTTATTTGCAAGGGAGAACCAATAGTGGATATGGGTAGTTTAATGACAGCAGCAATATGTGTATGTAAAATCTGAAACAATAAAGGTAATACAAATTAAAGTGATGTTATTAAAATCAAACATAAAAGTCAAGTGATGTTTAATGCTTACCCAGAAAGCACAGTTTTTAGACATGGTGTGGGTTGAAGCACCATTACTTTATTTTTAAATTAAAGGAATTTTTTAAACAGTTTCATTAGAAATTTTTTCAATATAATCTTAATTTATGTACTTTGACAAAGGATTAATAATTTATATTCTTAATTATTATTTTTACATACATATAATATATGCATAATTTTACATACATAATTTTTACATACTATTTTTAATGTGAGAAATTTTATGACACAATAAGTTAGCAAATTATGATAATTGTTTTTTCATGCAAATTATTCTCTTTTATATAGCTTTCATTTTTTTTAAATATGATACCACATTCTAATTACATACTAAAGAGAAAATATGTACTAACAGTTAATGGAGAAATGGCATCTTGTTTAAGAGAAAAGCAAAAAATTTGCAATACATATTTTGTATTAAATGATGAATAGCATATTCTGTTCTTTATCTCATTTCCCAATTGAGAATATAACATTTAAGTTGTAAAGGGTAGAGATTCAATTTGATTGTTCCTGTATACAAGTCATGAATACAAAAATTATCTTTATAACAAATTGATTACCATTTTTCATTGCCAAAAATTTTGCACTTTAATTTAAAGTTGGATTAGATTATAATCTACTTAAAATTTAAAGGTTAATTAAAAAATAAGCAGAATTTGAAAAAAAAATTTCTTAAACAAAAACTATAAATAGTGTTCAGTGCAGCAAGATTTTTGATAATTATAAATGTTCTGCAAGAATTTGTCAATAATAGCCCTTACTAATCAAATTTTCAATTTTTTTAATTGCTATTTTCCTGCAAACCAGAATTCAATAAAAAGATAACATCAATTGGTTTAAGATAAAATCAATAACTAAATAAAATGCAATTATAAAAGGGAATGCTAATGTTGGATGAACTTTTCAAGTAAAGATAAAGGCACTATGATGTCATAGTCATCAATTTTAATGTAAATGGTCAGTTAAATTGCGTGCATTAAAATTGTTATTTTTATCCATTATTTAGTACAAAATTCAGAATTTTAAATTAATGTTGAAAAAGCAGAGAAAATAAAAAACCTAAAAAAATAAACAATTAACCTAAGCATAAAAAAACACATATAAAAAAGTAATCATTAAGGTTTCTCTGAAAAAAAATATTTTTCCAAAAAAGAGTTAAATTCTGAAACAAAAAAAAATGCTGATTCTGAAATAAAAAAACCAAGGTAGCCACTCAAATCTGGGGGGAAAAAAATTCCACATGTTTTCCCTGCACACATTATAAGCAATATATTAAGAGGAAACACAATTAATGCACTCTTGTGTGAGCTATATTGGGCTAACTATATTATTTTTAATTGCTGAAAAAACTTAGAAAGAAAAAGGAACAACTGAACATACTTAATATCCTTAATAAAAATCCTTAAATATCCCATAAATAGCACTTTGAATAATCACCATTTTCAAATGACTAAAACAAGAAACAAAATTTCCTGCATTTTCCCTGTTATAGGTGATTTTTTAATTCCCTGTATTTTAAAGATTTTTCTTATTCTCCTTGTGGAGTGGCAACCATGAAAACGAAAAATTTTTCTTAATAGAAACTAAGTTTTACGCAATTTTTCATTGAGCTCCTTTTTAATACCCAGGTCAATAAAAAAAGTTTTTTATATTAGTGTTTTCACTACAGCGCGAGAACCTCGCATATTTTTTTCTTTTCTCGCAATAAGAAATGATTAACGCGAGAAGTCCGCACACTGTATTAATCAATTTCAAAATGCGCGAATTTTGGAAAAATTTCATCTTTTGCCATTTTGAATAAAATCTGTTTCACTTTTCCTCCTTGATGTTTCATTATTTTGAACATCGGTCCTTGTTATCTAGCTTCCCTATTTACCAGTATTGTTCAGAACCGGAGCGAACAGCAGAACGCTACCCCCGAACCCCCTTTCAAAACAATTTTCTCTGCAACCACGTGTTTACCGTAGATAAGTTTCTTCATGTAAGACGTTTACATTTTTTGTGCATGAATGTAAGATGGACAAATACCTTGCTAAGGCGACATCTTCTACTCCATAACGGACAAATGAAAATTAAACAAATGTAGGTAGAAACGGTCAAAACGAAACAAATACGGATATTTTTCATCCAAATAAATATAATAACTGATGAAAAAGTAGATATAGAACATTTTCCATATGATGATGCAGCAAAAATATTCAATTAGAAGATGTTAAAAATGCATTATAATTAAAGAAATAATTTTTACCAAGTCTATTCGTGTTTTTTTTAATGTTTAGAAATCTCACTTAACTTTCTGAAACTCACCCTGTTTTTGAGAAAGGGTGAGAAATTCTCTCCCATTTTCTTTTGTGTAATGAAAACACTGTTATATTCTCAATTTTCGGATGTTTCTTTCAGAATAATTAATTTATGAGTATTGTCAATTCTATTATAAAAGTATAGACCAGAGAACTTAGAAGTTACTAATGAATTTATTGCAAATGAAAAAGCTTGAATTTTCAAAATTGTGTAAAACATAAAACTCATATATACCCATGCTTCCTTTTTTCCATCTGGGTCAATAAATATCAGATGGGTGGCAGTAAGGTGAAGAGTTCCAATATTTGGTTTTTTGCTGTTAAATCGATCAAGCATTCGAACTTTCTCTACCTAAATATAGAAACCAGTTAGCATTTCTTTTAAAATGAATAAAATTTCTAAGACAAAAAATGTACCAAAAAAAAAAAAAAAAAANAAAAAAAAAAAAAAAAAAAAAAAAATTAGGCAACAAAAATAATAATAGGCTGAAATTAAGACTTAAATTTTCTAGCAAAAAATATAAATTAAAAAAGCAAAATTAAGCTTATTTAAAAAAGCCAGCTACTGCATTAATCAATACAAATATAAATTGATACAATGGAATGACTGAAAAAGTGATAAAATATCCATACTTGTCCAGTTATATGAATGAAAAAAGTGAAATTTTAAGCATTTTATAAGTATTAATTTAATATGCATAGTTAAAATAAAAATAATATTAAGATTAAACAATTTTTAACAAATAAACTATTTTAAAATAATTTTAATGTAAAACTTATAAAGTTATGTTTATAAGAGAAAAAAAATGCACTAAAAATAATTACTTAAAATAATGTAATGTTAAATAAAAAAAAATAACTGATTTTAATTACCTTATTTTATATATTTTTGATAAAATGGAAAGAAATCATAGTAACAAAAATTTTACACTTTAAAAGGGAAAAAACTGTTTAAATCATTCATTAACAAAATTCAAAAACTAATTATTACCAGGAAACATATAAATTTAATAATAACACTTAAGAGTGAAACTCTCTCACAGCTAGAAAAAATGCAAAAAGTTTAAATCAATTAAGTTAAAAGTTCATATTTATCCAGAAAAGCCAAAATACTTAAAACAAATTTCAAACTTTTCTCCATTTTTGTAACTGGCGGCATGAATTTTATTATTAATTTTTCAGTTATGCTTTATTCTAATATATAGCAGATATAACAACACTTACACTTACAATTTTAGTTTTAAAAAGAATTTTTGTTTTTAATTATTACAATATCAGTTTCTTTTTCTTTTTTGAAAAAAATATCAGACTTTTATGTATCTCAAACCTAAATTAATTCATTTTGCATAACGTATTAGGTATTTTAGTTAAAATCTCTGTTATTTCTTCGATTTTACCTTATTAAATAAATTTTCTGACTGTTTGCTGATATCCCATTTCTTCATTCTAGCCACCCTGCTATTGTTTTTAAGTTAAACCCCCATACAAATTAATATTAGTTTTTCGATTCAATAAGTAACCTTTACCAAAAGATTTTATAATATAGGGAAAGGGATCAACAGAAAAAGTAGTCAGATTCCATGTCAATAAAAAATCTGAGCCTGTTTATTTAAGAAGCTAAAAAAAAAAAAAATAAATAAATAAAAAAAAACGGTCCAAATCTGTTCTTTTAAAATATAAAATAGATTTCCTTATCTAAACAGAGTTTTAAAAAAATATAAAATTACAAATATATAGTAAATACTGTACAAAAATATAATAAAATATCAAACCAACACATACATTTATTCAATTTCATATGAAAGTTACCTTACATATTAGCATGATTCCTCGCTTCACTGAGACACATATACATAAAATATAATTCAAAAAATTTTGAATTTCCTAACAAGTAAAACAGATTCTATTATTATGAACTCATAATTACAACATATTGCTAATCTCATAGAAATATCTAAATTCTGAAATATTTTGCTTACATTAAGGTTTTTGTTCTTATAAACATGCATTTGTATCAGTTATCTAACAAAGAAAAGGATAATACCTTGTGATATCTAGACGAAAGCAGAAAACAATCTGAATAAAACCCAAATTATATACTTTCATTTGTGCTTTATTCACATTGTTCTTTGTTTTAGTGTACCAAAAATGTTTAAAATGAAATAATGTTTATAGTTCTTAACTAAAACATAAATAATTACAAGAAAAAATACACAATAAACACATAAGTAACTTTACCTAAATAAAGTACTTAACTTTACAGTACTTTATTTAGGTACTTATACGTAGAAGTAGAAAATATATTACAATAGCACCTATATTAAATATTACTTCCTATTAACAAAATACGAGAGTACCATACTTAAGGAACACCTTACATCACATGGTTATTTTTAAAAACCCCTCATAAAGAATAAGTGTCACAATTTTTTTCAGAGTTATGAGCTGCATCACTAAAATTATGGAAGTAAATAAAACTTGTTTTGTTTCCTTTTGATAAATTTTAGATCACAACCGTTCAGAAATTGTTACCTGTATGCCATAGAAAGAGGGATTGTATTAGAAAGAGCGACATTAAAAATTAAGGATAATATTACATTTACTAACTGTACATTAGAAAGAGGAACTCTATTATAAGTCCTCAAACCAGTACGGTGAATGCAAATCAGTGGTCAGAAGCAGAATGGTACAAGTAGCAAAGCTGCTTTAGTTGCTTCTTTTTATCGTAGTTTGTAGTTAGAAAATTGCAAATATTTAATTATTTCCTAGCACTTCTTAAATTGATTATTCACCATCAAGAAAGGCATAAAAAGTTACGGTTAAAAGGACAAATTAAGAAAAAGGGTTTAGAATAACAATCTGCAAACATGAAAAAATATTTCTTAATAATTCCTCATAATTAAATAAGCAAATTGCTTTTACTCAAAATCATTTTGAACATGGATGTAAATGTAGTTCTCCGGCAAAGTTCTTCTCTTAAAAGTAGGGAAGTAGTGAGTACACTCCAAAAGTAGTTTGTAGTCTCTACATATAAAAAAAAATAGTAGTAGTTGTATTTGTAGTTAACTACATTTGTTATAAAGTAGTTGAAGTTAGTTTTTTGCAAAAATAAAGTAGTTTTTCCTACCACTGATTCAAGCCCTGTAGAAGAATTTTTTGAGGCTCTCTGCACCAAACTTTCCTAGCACCAATATTTTTCTGTGAGATACTTTTAATAATAACAATTACTAATTTAAAGTAACCGAAGCATTGTGCTTACAAAAGAAAGAAAAACCCTACTCATATACAGTAGAACTGCAAATTTTTTTTTTTTTAACTTTTTTACTTGTCAATGTAATATGTTTCTTATTCTAATATTATGGGCAATATTCTGGCATTTTGTAGGTGGAAAAACACACAATTTTTTTTTTTTTGAACTTAGTAAGCCAACATCACTTTAAACAAAAATAATTAAAAAATCATCAAACCTTGGCAAGAACATCCAAAAAAATATTGACAACAAAAATCACACATATCAGACTCTTTAAAATGGGTATACTAAAATGCCTGTTTTGTTTCAAGATCCGGTTGTTGCAAAAAATATATTATTTTGCTTTTCGTATTATTTAGATTTTTTAATTTTTTTGCTTTTTTTTAGCTCCACTTCTTAATTACCTTTCCTTTTGAGCACAAGAGATTTTTGTATTGATATCTAAGCTAAAATTATAGCCAAGTTTTGATAACAACTAGGTAGTGGCTGGTAAGAACCCAAGAAAAACGTCTGTTAATGGGAGAAGATAGAATAAAATTTGCAATTCTCTGAGAACAAACAACTATACACATTTTTATGAATTTATCCCAGTATAAAAAACAAGCAGTGGTTCATGGTGACTACAGACACTATATACAGCCACCCATATGCAAATATCCCTTAATGTAGGTTCCAAAAAAGAAATTGAATTTAAATAAATTGCCAAATAATACTTCACTGGCTCTGAATCATTATTCCAAATGCTTCCATAAATATTTGGCACTGTCCTCTGATTCGTAAGAAGTGATACAATTTCCTTGTACTACTATTTTTGCTTTCAGGTAAGCATTAAAAAAAATCACCAAAAAAAGACAATTAAACATAAAATCTGCACCAAATATATTTCACTTAGTTGATTTTCACACAGAATGGCATTTATGCAGTTGGTTACTTTATTTCTTAAAAAAAATTATCAAAGATGAAAAAAAAAATTTTTTAACAATTAAACAAAACTGTTCAAAATTAATATTTAATTTAGAAGGCACTGACAGAAAATGCAAACTAAAATAAGAATTCTAAGCTAATAAAAAGCCAAGCAAAACTTTAGCTAAAAATGCATAAAATACTTTCAAATAAATTAATTAAAAAATTTAAAAGTCTCTCTTACAATTCTGACATTGCCATATGTAAAACATGCATAACATCAATATATTTATTAAGATCTAACTTACTTTCAACTCACACGAGCATTTTGTTCCATTTAGATTACTTGATAAAACACCCTAAAATAAAATAACCAGGAGCCAGACAAACTATTAAGATGTTTTTAAAACAACGAAATCTTTGGCAAAGTGATTATAAAAAATAAAATGAAAATATTTCAAAGAACTTAATTGTGAACATCCGTAACTGTTCAGAAACTTTTTCTGTTATTCATGAATGAATTACTTTTAAAAGATTTGTAAGAGTTAATTATGTAGTATCAATTTGGTAACAAATACTTCGAATATAATATCATTAAGGAAAATTTTTTGCCAAATCAGTATAACCCAATTTGGAATCCTAAGATCATAAAAGTGGAAGTGAGCATTAAAATTAAGTATTAAAAGTGAGTATTAAATTTCATTTAAATCCTTTACATGCTTAATTAACGTAGAAAAGTACGTAAATATAATAGCATAGTTAATAATTGCACACTTAATTACAAAATAATCTAAAGGATAACAAGAAATAAAGAACTCTGAATGTACTCTTGTTAACAGCTGTTTTCAATGGTTCATACAAATCCAAAACATTACATAAAATATTTAATCGGACAACAAGCACTGTATCAAAAAATAAAACTAATTGTAAATTTATAATTAAAAGCAATCATTACCTTAGGGGTCCTTATCAAGTCCATGATCTTAACACTGAATCTATTTTGACGGTACGTCTTTAAATGATTATCAGAAAACTGCAAATAATTAAAAATAAGTTATGAAAAACTATTTCCAAACTTTATTATTACAAATATTGCAAAAGTTTGCAATGGAAATTTCATTTTTAGCAGATTTTTTAGAGGGGATAAATAAAAATTTGCAATTCGAAATTATCGTCTGCCTCTTTAGCAGTCAACAAACTATTTTTCAGTTTTCTCCTAAAGTCAGATTAAGCAAACCGCACCACAATTCGGTTCGTAAAACTACAGAGGAGAATAAACAAATGAAACGCAAAAGTTCAAAAGAATTGGTGCACTGTTATGAATTTTATTTTTTTAGAATGTATCGTTTGCATAACAAATGCCATATTTAAGTTACTCTAATGTTTATATAAATATTTGCAATTTTTTTTTCTCCAAATTATGATTGGAATTGAATTTAAATAAAATAATCAATTCAACGAAATTTTATAATTTGATTGGTTAAAGAGTCTACAAACTAACAATGAGTTTGATCTTAACATTATTATGACTGTAATTGTAACGGTAAACAATTAAATTTTATTTACATTTTCAAATATGTAAACAAAGTATAAATAAAACTTCAGAAAAACTTAAACACGTGAATTAAAACTTATTTTATGATATTTATATGCTAGATGCATCATTATTTTAATTTATCAAAGTATTTAATTTCGTATCATTCATATATTTATTTTTTTACTGTGTATTTTTTGTGCAGTTATTCTTACAATGTTTACATTTAAATTATGAACATATTGTTTGATCTTTACAAAAATGTATTGGATAAATAAACACACATTTAAGGGTAGTTAAAAAAACAAATTTTCTTACACCCTTCAGAATTCCTTTTCAATGACAAATAATGGCTAAATTTTAAAATACTATGATGCGATCATAAAGAGTTAAAGGAGTTTTTGCGTCCACACCACAAGCTGAATGCATGTACCATATGTTCATCAAATAGATTTTTTAGTAGTAGTAAAAAAAATCTGAAATTGAAGTAGCTAAATCTTAAATCATACTAAACGGGGATATTTCCTCCATATCGTGATCTGTCGCGCCAACTACTATCGCGAAGGTGCCAAATAGATTTTAAACTTGCAAATTTTTTTTTAAAAAAAAAAGCACGTAAATGTTTACCCGGGAGTAGCTGCAAATTTTTAACTTGTAATCTTCTAAGGAGAGAAAAAAATGTAATATTAAATAAATTAATATTAATAATGAAATAGAGTTTTTAATATTTATCAGTTATATCTGTATCGTTACTACCTTCCCTAGTGCGCCCAAATTAAAAAAAAAAAAAAAAGGTTTTGGTGCACCAAAAATGTTTTTTTTTTGTTTGTTTTTTAAAAGAAAAGTTTAATTATATGTATGGAGGTGACTCTGTGAGTTATTACCTTCAAGTCAGTTCCCTTCTGTGATTTTTTAAAATTTCTTGCATACCACTGTCCTGTTATTGCCAAAATTTAGAAAAGATACCAGTACAAAATGAAATGTTAATAAATTTTTTCACGTTTTTTTTAAAGAAGATATTACTGTTTATTTATTTATTTTTTTGTTGTTGTTGCAAAAATCCTACTAATTCTAGTTTTAAAGCATATTTGTCAATATCAAATTTTATTTTAACATTGTTAATTTATTATATTAAATATATATTTTATTGTAAATATATTTCTGGATTTTAATGTGTATAATTCAAATTTTCGTCATTATTAAAATAATAATTATCATATCGCATGGAAAAAACAAGCTGTCTAAAGATAAAATCAGATTCTTTTTGTGTAAACGTGTTTTTTTTTTTTTAGTAGATGATTAAGTAATTCCAAATCAAAAAAATTATTAACCTACAGTCAAGGAAAGGTATAAAGCAAAACAATTTATTTTATTATTTCAAAAAATTCTTTAAAAAAATAACCTTGATTCTAATTTTATGAATTGTTTATTTTACACATGTTTTTCAGTAGTTAATAATAATACATACATTTCTCTTCTTTTTGTATCAAATTTAAATCATGTTTTTGACTGAATGAGTTACTATGAGAATTTTATGTTGAAATGTATTGTTATGCTACTTTTAATAGGATTTCTATTATAATTGTATTTATAAAATTTAACTAACTATAAACTGTTGAAGTTCGCAGTGGCCTCTTAAAAGTTTTTTCTTTTCCTTTTTTTTTTTTTTTTTTTTTTTTTTTTTTTTTTTTTTTTTTTTTTTNTTTTTTTTTTTTTTTTTTAGTCTTTTTCTGAAAAGATTATTGTGCATGGTTAATTTAAAGTTTCTAAGTTAAGTTTTCAAAACATTTTTTTTCTTGATATTTTAGCTAATAGAATAGAAATTTTATATAGTGATAATGCTTAAAAATGATATTTTAAAACTTTTTTGCTGGCTCAATTGCCTTTAAATAGTTAAGCATTGTGCATATTATATTTATTTCATAATTACATATCTTCAAAAGAAATTAAAGCTTATTATTTAAAATCAAGATTCCGCATTTTAAAACAGTTTTAATAGTTTAAAAGGATCTCAAATTCTGCATTTAAAATAAATCTGAACTTGAATAATGTTAAATTTTTAAATTTAATAATTAATACTAAATCATTTTTAAGCAATACTGGACTATTATTTGGTACTGTTCCATTTTTCAAGACGATGTCAATATTTGAAAATAGATGATAAAGATAGATGAAAAACCTATAATCACAGTACCAGTAATACATATTACCGCAATCAATTAAGCATCACTGGCATCATTAATAGCTTGATGATTTTTTATGATTCTTTGAAGTGGAGTAGTACCCAATGTATTTTTTAATAATTGTTTCTTTCTTCTATTGATACATTTGAATGTTATTTTAATATCTTTAGCTTAATTTATCCTCCAAACTAATAATTACCATGCTAACTTTGTCAAATGAAGTAAAAAAATATGTGTAGTGAATTTAATGATTTGTGATATTCTATATCTCTTGTTAAATATACTACCTTAAGTGTTCTGGCCCAACTTTCTGGGAATTGTTATCCAATTATTTGTGAAAGCATGAAAATAATATTCACTGTTCTAATTTGACATTTCAGATGAGTACCTATGCTTTGAAGCCTCCTAAACTTCGAAGGTATCACATATTGGAAAGTATTAGTTCAAAGACATTCATTCCTCGAGAATATCAGGTTAATTTCAATTAGTTACTTTTATTAATTATCTATGCCAGTATTTGTTGTATTGAAAAATTGGTAATAACATAAAATTTATTTTATATTTATGCACATGCATTAAACTATCCTTATACTTTGTGTCGCTCTACCTTCATTTAATAGGGATCAGAGGTGTTTTACTTTTTTTTTTATGGTACCATTAAATGAAATAATGGTTCAAATAATGCAATTCGGAATCAAATGATTAAATTTTGTCCCCGATATTGGAATGAATGGTTCAGTGTGGATGTTCTAAAATGAAATTACATCTCAAGAAATAGCAAACAAGACTTTATGCATCGGTCATTTTATTGCAACGGTTGCTGTAATAGGGGTCATGCTAAAGAGCATAGACTATATGTACAGTGTGCAAAAAAATTAGCGGACTATCCTAAATAGCTTTAGATCTAATGATTGGATCTTCACATTTTAAGTCTCAATCTTAATGGTTCAAGAGGGTGACCTCAAATATGCTAATTAATTTGTGCAAACAGTATTTTAAGTTATGATATTGTACACAAAAATGTACTTTTTTTGAATAAACATACCATTTTTTAACGTATTCGGACTGACTTCCAAAATCTAGAGAGTATCCACTATCTGGAAATTATGATCCCAATAGTTTGGCAGGAGAATGGCCTGAAGCTTATAGCTTGTATAATTAATTTTATTTTTTACATATTTCACCATATCTCGAGAACTTTTTAAGCGAATTGAAAAATGCTTGCATATAATTATAAACCCCATTTATCCAAAGACAATTCCATGCAAAAAATAACTTTTAGTAAATATTTATCACTTTTTATTATTTTATTTAATAATACTTAGAAAAGTTTTGAGTCATAAAGTATACAATTTTTGCACCACTTTAAAGAATGTCATTTTATATGGCAAAATATAAAATTTGAACGAAATCATTCAAATAGTTTCTGAGATATCGAATTTTAGAAAGTCGTAATTATAAAATTCGACCTCAAGTACACCCCCTTGGTATAACTTGAATGAAAATGTGCATGATTATTAAAACAGAATCACATACCCGTCACATTTATTCCAGTGAAGTTTTGAAATCATATTGGGAAGAATCAAAACATGAAAGATGACACTGTATGTTACGATAAGTGAAGTTGTCACAGCAGTCTTATGCTTCATGTTAAACAGTTTAAAATAATGATTGTGAAATCAAATGTGCCTACTTTTTTTCTGTAATATTAATACTTGTTCAGTTGCTGAGTTAACAGATTGGAATAAAAATAACTTTATGTTAAAAATTTTATTTATTTTTTCAAATTTTATCTGGTTTTACTACTATTAAATACCTCAAAAATTTATATCAGATATTTTAAAATCTATGTTTTTACAATTTAGGTAAAATTTAAGGTTGGTGCAGTGAAACTGATTCCTGCTATTGTGCTTTTAAACATCAATCCAATCAAACAAACAAAAATACTTTATTCAATCAACTTTATTCAATCTAATCAAACTTATCTATATGCTTTAACACTTAAGAGAGTATTTATTTAATTTTCATTTTAATAAGTTTTAATTATGTTTAGAATGTTTTCATTGAAACTAATGTTAGAGGGAAAATTATATTAATCTAATTCTACCAAAAATAATAGACTAACATCTACATGTCATTGTATTTTTCTAATGTGTTGGAAATTTGTCATTTACAATAGGTTGAGCTATTAGATTCTGCAAGAAAAAAGAACACAATAATATGCCTTGGTACAGGTACTGGGAAAACATTTATTGCTGTTATGCTGATAAAGGAATTTTCGCATTTGGTTCGAGATTCTTTATCAAATGGAGGGAAAAGAACTATTTTCCTGGCCCCAACAGGTTCGATTGCAGTTTTATTTTTCTAATCTTATTAATTCAGTACTTTTCTTAAGTATTAAAATTTTTTGTTACTAATAACTTCCTTAAATTATATACTTTCTAAATTTAAATTTGTAAATTGGATATAAATTTACGCATTATGAAAACTATCCTTGAAATAGTTTTTTGACTTTCTTTTATATTTCCTATGGATTGGATCTTTTTTGTTAATTATATGTAAGGAATTTAGAAAATTATATTGAGAATGTTTTTTCTGGAAATTTGAAATAATAATTAGTATAGCTAATATGTAAATTAAGACAGATAATTCAATTCAATTTATTTGTTAAAAAAATATAGCTGATCCTTTTTTGCAGCATGTCATAATTTTCTAAAAAAAAAAAAATTCAATAAACAGTCAACTTTCATTTTGTCCTCTTAACACCCTGAACTAAAGCGTCTTATTAGTCAATAAAGTCTGATATAGTGTTAGCGGACTAATTTTTAGGTAATCAATATAAGATTATTGAAAATGCATTATATATGCATTCTTTGTATGATTGTTATTATTTTTTTTTATGTTATGGGTATTTTTTAAAGAAAAAATATATGTTGCTTTTCAAACAATTACAGAATTCCATTGAAAAATTTTATTTTTAATTTAAATTTCATTTTTTATTTTCTCTTTCTTTAGTCCCACTGGTCATACAGCAAGCCAAATTTGTCAGAGACTGTACTGACTTAAGAGTTGGGCAGTATTTTGGACTAGACCTTGAAAAGTGGCCCAAAGAAAAATGGCTTAAAGAAGTTGAAACTCATCAAGTTCTAGCAATGACTCCTGACCTTTTCTGCGTTATTCTTTATCATGGCTTTTTACCACTTTCATCAGTTAATTTAATTATATTTGATGAATGTCATAATGCTGTGAGAAATCATCCATACTGTAAAATTATGAATTATTTTGATGTATGCGAGGCTGGGAAAGAACCACGAATTTTGGGAATGAGTGCCTCTTTAATAAATAACAAATGTAGACCATCAGCTATAGATCAACAAATAAAACAACTTGAAGCAGTATTAAAATCGCATGTAGAGACAGCTACCGAATTGACTTCACTAAGTAAATATGGATCAAAACCTAAAGAATTCATTGTTCTGTATAATTCATACTCTGATGATGATCCTATTTTAACCACTGTGATAAGCAAAATTAAAGCTGCCCTAGAGTTTTTAAATTTCGTAAATGTTCCGTATGATGAAGATGATCCATACCCCCATCCTTGCCACCAACCTAAACGGTACTTAGTGGAACTTTCATATGTAATTTCGTCACTTGGTCTTTGGTGCAGTTTAAGAGCCATTAAATTATTTCTTGAAGAAATCGATATGTTTTTGGATTCATCACATTGGAGTTATTTACCAGCACATAAAGTTTATATTGTTCTTACTAGGACTGTTTTAGTAATGGCGGAAAAAGAAATTCATTCTCTTCTAGGCAAAAACAATATTTTGTCAAATTTGGTTGAAAGGATTCCGCCTAAAATGAAAAGATTATTAGAGGTTTTAAAACCATATAAGCCTGAACCTGTGACACCTTGTAATGCTGAGTTAATTAATGGCACTTGCATTAACAATTCATGTGATACTGAAGCACAAAACTCTAGTATCAACAATCAGAATGGACAGGCACTTCAAAACAACCAAAAAACTAGTGACACTCATAGTGAGCTGGAAGCTAACAAGTGCAATACTTATAAGAGAAAATATAAATCAAACAATTTTTCTGATGATAGTAAAGTGTTATGTTGTTTAATCTTTGTAAGACAGCGCATAGCAGCTTATCTCTTAAGTGAATGGCTTGCAAAAGTAAAGGAAAATGATCCTGACTTTAGTTTTTTATCACCGAGTTATATTATAGGCCATGGAAAAAACACGAGTGGTTTAAAAAATGCTGCTATGAAATTTCAAAAACAAGAGGAAGTGCTGCAAAAATTCAGGACTAAATTATATAATATTGTGGTTGCTACGTCTGTTATAGAAGAAGGGATGGACATTCCAAAATGTAACCTTGTTATCCGTTTTGATAGGCCTGAAAACTTTCGTGCTTATGTGCAGTCTAAAGGAAGAGCTAGAGTTAATGATTCTCATTATATCATGATGGTTAAATCTCCCGAAAAAGAAACATTTGAAGAAATTATATCTGATTATAAAACTGTAGAAGAGGTAGGGTGGTTTTTTATATTTTCATATAATACATTAGCACAAAATTTATTTTATTCATTAGTATATAACCATCTCTATACAGTGCTCCCCGCATATTAAAAATATGTTGATAGCATTTGATTTTATAAACAGTAATACCTATACTTCAGAGAGAGAAAATTTCAAATTTAAACTTTGCAAATACATTGAAGGTTAAATTCATATTTATATTACGCAATTCTATTAAACATCAACTACAAGTTGTATTTAACGGAAAGATTTTTAAATCCTAGAAATGCTTGATTAACAATATTTGAAGTTAAAGATTCAACATGGTTTAAAAGTTTTTCTAACTTTCAATATTTATTTTGTTGACCTCAAATATGGTAATTAATAAGTACTGATAATATTTTTAAGTTACAAAATCACACACAATGACATACTTTCTCTGAATAAACATACAGTAAGATCTCGATTATCCGAGCTAATTGGGACCGCTAGTACCTCGGATATCGGAAATCTCGGTTAATAGGAACCATGTATAAAAACCTTCCGTGCTCACAAATTTAACTACTTTTAAAGTAAAAAACAATAGAACGTTTTTTAAATGATAAAAATAAACATAGATGAACTTATGTTTCACAGCTAAAAAGACTTAAAAAGGAAATCATCTCTAGTAGTAAATTTTAAAAAGTAAAATGACTTTTTTTTAATATAGTTGAATATTGAAAGACGCATTTTCAAAAATAACACAAATCTCAGAAAATATTGTATTTTTAAAATTTACATGATTAAACTTACAAGTCACATGACTACTGTTAACAAAGCATTCATGGATGTTGTCTTCTCAGGGTGTAATATTTCATGGAAGTTGAGTACTTTTGTGGGGAATAAGTGCCTGTAACACAGACAACGAACTAATATGTGTATAATTTCTTCCAAGCTCATTTTGGAGAGGAGAACAGAAACCTCGGTTAATCGAGGTTCTACTGTAATTATTTTTTAATAGTTTGAATTTATGACCCCCAAAATATAGGGCATAACTGCAATCTGGGAAATATGGTCTCAATAGTTTGGCCAGGAGAGCACTCTAAAGTTTGGACCCCTTAATGTTAATTTACTTTTTGCATGTCTCGCTATATCTCAAGAATTTTTTAAGCCAATAAAAAAAATTTCTGTTCAATTATAAAATTCAGTTATCCAAAGATAATTCCTTGCAAAAAATAACTTTTAGTAAATATTTACTATTTTATTTAGGAATGGTAAAGAAAATTTGAATTGTAAAGTATAAGATTGTTTGCACCATTTTAAAGAATACAATTTTACATGGTAAAATACAAAACTTGAGCGAAATCAGTCGAATAGTTCCCGAGAAAATTTTAAATATGCAATTTTCTCAAAATTCGATTTTTCAGGAGCTATGCTACCAATTTTGCTCAAATTTCGCATTTTGCCTTGTAAAATTACATTCTTTCAAAAGATGCAAAAAATTGCAAATCTTACAATTCAAAATTTTTTCGTCCATTCTTAAATAAAATAGTAAAAAATAATAAATGCTTACTAAAAGTTTTTTTTTCTTCATAAAATTAACTTTAGGTAAACAAATTTTATAATTGAGTATAAAAAGTTTTCAATTTGCTTAAAAAGTTCTCAAGATATGACGCAATACGCAAAAAGTAAAATTAACATTGAGGGGTCCAAACTGCTTTTCCTGACCAAACTATTGGGACCATATTTCCCAGATTATGACTGTTCCCTATATTTTGGGGGTCAGAGAAAGTACGCTTTGTGTCTGATTTCATAACTTAAAATATCGTCTACACTAATTAATTAGCATATTTGAAGCCACCTCTTCAAGCCATTAAGACTGAGTCCTAAAGCGTGACGATCCAATCAATAGATCCAAAGTTATTCAGGGTAGTCCTTTGTTTTGTGCATTGTACATTTGTACAACTGTGTAAATAAATTTTTTTTAATGATTAATAGAATACAAAATTTATGAAAATGATTTTTCATTTGTTATATTTATTATCTCTCCTGTATTTAAATTTTAAATATACTTATAATTCAACTTCATTTTAAATATACTTATAAGTAATTAATTCAGTAATTAAATCAATTTTTGAAATCATTTATTAGTAATAGTAATTAGTATTAAGCTAATCATATCCATTTTAGTATTTTAAAATACTATTGAATCACTGTTTCATATTTTAGTTGCTATTGATGAAATGTCATAAAGCTGACCAAGACATGGAAGAAACAGTGTTAGAAAATTCTATTGATAACCTAATTGAACCATACATGCCAGTAAAGCAAGATGGTTACCCTCGTGTTACACTCTCAACTGCTATTGCTCTTGTAAATAGGTTAGTACTGTTACATAGTTATTTGTATATGCATTACTAAGAATTTATATATTTTTTACTCCTCTTTAGATAAAATTATAAGACCTCTTTAGACACAAAGATAAAATTTGTGTTGCATAAAAGTATTATCTAATAAAGAAGATATAAAACGCTAGAATAAATATATCTAATGAAGAAGGCATAAAATGCTGTAATAGAAATATAATCAAATAAAAGAGATATAAAGTGCATCAAAATTCTATTGATGACCTGATTAAACCATACATGCCAGTAAAGCAAGATGGTCCCCTATTTTTACTACTTTTGTAAATTATTTAGTGCTATAGCATTTTTCTTTATCTATGCATATCTAAGTATTGTTATTATTTTTATATTTTGTTATCTATTAGAGAAAGAATAATTTTATTGTTAAATTAAAACTATGTTAAATGATATAAAGAAAAACTAATTATTTTTCTATCTGATGATATTTTCCTAGAAAATGTTTGTAAGGGTATAATAGCTTTTCATTGTTAATAAATTTTAACTATTAACTTATTTAAATGTACGGGACCACAATTATTAAGGTATGTAAAAAACAAACTGTTATACTGTTAAAAATTATAAAAACTTAACCTTTAACCCATTGACGGTTCTGCACGTAAAAAGTCGCATTTTAACCTGCAGTCTTCTCTGCATAGCAAAACCGGTTTTCCCATGTTAACTGATAGGGGAACTGTGTGTAGCGGAGAAACATTCTCCCAATTTTGCCCATTTCCTTAACCGCCAGTGGGTTAAATGTAGGGCATTTTAAGGAATATTTTTTATTTACCCACTCTTATTGTCTTCATTTTCGGAAGGAAAATGTTAAGCCACTGATGGTTCTGCTCATAGAAAGTCATCTGTTGTGATGGTTCTTATTTTATTCCCCCAAATAGTCATGCAGGTAAAAAATCTCACTTCATTTTCAACCTACAAATGGTTCTACACTTAGAAAAAGCCTCTTATTTCTTCGCACCAAACAACCACTTACCTTGAATTCAATGGGTGAAAAACAATCCATTATACTACAGATTGGAGGGGAGAGGAGGAATTAGCCTGAATCTAGTTTATATAAGAAAAGTGTGAGCAATTTTGAATAAGTAAATATAAAAGTGTAAAAATTGCCAACAGATTAAAAAGCAGCATGTCAGAGCATACTCTAAAGTATTTATGCCTCATCACTTTTGTGATTTTTTTAGAGTTATGCTGTTAGGTTGCTCCCGGGGATTGGTTGGGCACACTGCAAAACTCCATTTTGTTCTTTCATTCTATTTCAAACTATGCTAACAGATATAATCAGGCTGGATAGGATAAAATAATTCTCAATGAAATATTTTAGTAAATGGTACAATAAGGTTAATAACTAGTGCAAAGTTACAGCACTAAATCAAATGAGCATATTAATTAGATAAAGAAATAGAGAATTTTTCGTCTGCTCAATATCACTGATCATTTATATCTTCTTTTTCTTAATACTTTAATTTTTGGAGACTTCTTCCTTTCTTTACATTTTAATTTTTAAAACATTATTTAAATTCACATTCTATATTTTATTTATAAAGATTTAAAAGGCTTTAAAATTTAATTTTTAGTAAAAATAGCATTTGAAAAATTGAAACATAAAATATTTATTCTGCCTGTGTATGTTTAAAATTAGGATCTATACTGTTTTTAATTAAAATCCAGAAATTTGAAAGTCCTGTGTTGTTAGGATATATAGTTTTCAAAATCTAGCTGAATCACTTTATAGTGATTTCATGTATTTGTTTAAGTTCATGAGACGGAACTAATTTTTAAAACTTAAAATATTTGGAACATATAATGGGCTAGTCTTATCTGTATTGCTTAAGAAGGCCTCTCATTATAACCTAGTATAATTAGCTCACAATATGTGTGAATATTTTTTTGAACTATGACTCTGAAAATATTAAATATGTAATTATAGAAAATTTATTTGTTTTCATAATATTCTTATCATTATTTAGTTGATGACTATAATAATTTGATAAAAAGTTTTTGTAAGAATTAATTTATAACTATATTAACTGTTTTATAAAAACTTAAACTATGGCAATGTTTTAATATAATTATTGTAATTAGTTTTCATAAAAATATGTTTGTCTCATATTTTTCTAATTTTGTCTTTTAAATGTTACTAAATAATTATTTTAGCTTCAATTTTGTAGGTATTGTGCTAAACTTCCAAGTGATACTTTCACAAGGCTTACTCCAAAGTGGAAGATAATAGAAGACATAGGTCTTACATCACCATTTCAATGTGTCCTAAAATTACCCATTAACTCACCATTAAAAAAACCGATTGAAGTAAGAGTTACGATTTTTTTCTGCTTATTGCTATTAAAATTAAAACAGAGGGTTTGCTCTATTACGCTCAACATGATTCAGTTATCTATGGTTATAAAATGAAGAGTTTGCCAATTTATCTCTCTTATAACTTTAGAACCATTTGTGCAAGCATCCTAAAATTTAGACAGTGAGTAAAAGGGGCAAATTTAGAGCCCAATCCTGAAAACCGCTTGAAATTTATTGTTTACATTTGCTTGTAATTTTAGATATTGTGATAATTCATCTAACTCATATGTTTAAATGATAAAAAAAAGTACACATTTTTATGATGATTAATAAGTGCATGATTTTAGGGTTGTGCTTCTAATTTTGTTGCCAATAATTATAGAATTTATCAGATAGATTGTCTTTTTATACTTTTTTTTCTGTAAAGTAGCATAAGAGAAATTAGTTTATTCTTCTGGATTGTATACATGTTAGAAAACATAAAGTTCTATATCCAGAACCATCATTAAGTTAGTGTTTGTACTTAAATATCATAACACATTTTTTTTTATTTGATATTACCATAGAGTTTTTATTTTTAAAAAAAAAAGAAAAAGTATGAATAAGAATAGAAATAGGACATTTTCATAGTTATTTAATTTTTTATTGCTTTTTATGAATTTTCTTAATTAATTCCTTTGTAAATGTTGAAATTTTCAGAAATATCCAAATTGATTTGTCTTACAGATTAAAATAATATTTATTTAACTTGTTAATTTAATTAAAATTCAGTTAATTCTCAATATTTATGGTTTTATACAAAATTAATAAATTGTACTGTTATAGAATGCTTTTTTACGTTTTTACTTAAAGTCCATCTTATGTGTATATATTTTTAGGGGCAATGGATGCAAAGTAAACAGCTCGCAAAAATGGCTGTAGCATTGAAAACTTGTGAAGAACTGCACAAAGCTGGTTTGTATTTTAATAATAAATACTCATTGTAAAGTCTCNAAATTGTACTGTTATAGAATGCTTTTTTACGTTTTTACTTAAAGCCCATCTTATGTGTATATATTTTTAGGGGCAATGGATGCAAAGTAAACAGCTCGCAAAAATGGCTGTAGCATTGAAAACTTGTGAAGAACTGCACAAAGCTGGTTTGTATTTTAATAATAAATACTCATTGTAAAGTCTCCATTCTTTTTTTCAAAATGTATTTTAAATGAGTTTTATTTATTAATCACAAATAATTAACGTCATCAAATTAATGTAACATCCAAAAAGTAATATGTTTTTTTTAAAAAAAACAACTCTTTAGTGGTATTGTAGTTAACCCTTGGATGCTACAAGTTTTGTTTTCTTACCTGATTGCTTTATTGTTAAGAGTGTTGGAGAAATTATTTCATTTCTCTCAACAACTTAAAGCCTAACTGCTGAATATTTTATATTAGTAAATAGATCTCATTCAAAATAAGCAACCTGAAACTAAGTATTATTTTTAAACACTATTAATAATTTTTAAAACAATTTTGAATGTGTTTTTAGAGCATTTTTTATAATGTTTACAAAGGGTAATAAATACATGCTTTAGAAATGTTTTCAAAGTTACATTCAAATACTTCGTTTTATATAAGTTATAAGTGAGCAAATGATATTTATAACTAACAATATGAAAATATGTAAAAAGAAGTGTTATCAAAAAACATTTTCCCCCGAGGTTAGAAATATTTTCTGCATCGAAATCCTTCTTCAATTCCCCCTCTTATTCACATGTAGCTACAAGTGTAAATCACCCATAAGATTTGGATAAAAAGTATAGTTAAATTTTGGCGAATTTTAAATTTCAATCTCTTTCTTTCTCTGAAATTTTTTCTTAGGAGCTTTCAAATAATTTTGGAAACATAGAGCATTTGCTGCTTAATGTTTTTGTAGAAAAACTATTTATTGAATGATCTCTCAATTTGCCATTTAAAAACTATTATATGGTTACTCAATTATTATATATGATTGATATCAATCATTTTTAAAATCAAATCAAAGAGATGAATCAATAATTATGATAATCGCACACTGCAAGATTTGTTACTGTATTTGTACAATATAATAAATGACACCTGAATTGATCACTGTGAAAATTTGATAATGTAAAGTGATTTTCTTTTTCATAAAATGACTGAAGTTTGAACTATCACAATTTTTATTAGTATTATTGATTAAAATAAAAAGATTTTGGATCGAAAAATCCAAGTTTTTTGATTCCTCAATCCAATTATTTTAGTCAGGAATATTATGACAACTACGAACCATATATTTTTTTTTTTTGTATATTGATGAAGTATTTTTAAAAATAATTCAATTTGAATAATTGGAAATCAGTCCTTCAAAAATGAAGCTTCATTTAAAATTAAACATATCTTTTTCAATTAATCATCTTATGACATTACTTTCTTTATGAGCAAATGTGTACGTTAATTAAAACTTTATGTTGAAATTAAAATGCATATTGAGACTACAATTTCGAACCAGCACTTAGGAAGAACATCCTTTCTCTCTTTCCTCTGACCCCTTACAAAATAAATTCACATCAACCATAAAAAAAAGAGAAGGAAAGAAAGCATTCCTTTTGTATAAACTTTCACGCCACCCTATTTCACACTATTAGTTACTGCTTTGAAAAAGTAAAATAGCTGTAAATGCCGAAAAAAACTTAAGAACTGACCTGAAAAACCCATTGTCCTCTCCTTGTAATGAATCAATCCTCAAAAAACTTTTGAGGAAATTTTAACCATCCCCTCCTCTTCTCTGTATACGTTTGACTTTTGTTCTGAGATGCCAGAAATTTTTTATCAAATTAGGGGGAAAATACTTATAATGGTGTCGTAGTTAACATTCTACACACAAAGCTAATGCTGTACACAAAGTTTTGCCTTCTGACCCGCACACTTCCTCATTAAAAAATCAATTTGTGTTTTATGTTATTCTATATTAGTTTTTGGAAGAAGAAAAAATCCTCGGAAAGTTGTCCTTAAATGAATTTAGGGATATCAATTACAAATAGTTTCTCTTTAAGGTATCTTTAATATCTAACTTGACAATTGAAATTTAAAACTTTTTTTGAAAAATCTTCATCGTTTAAGAGTTTTATTTTAATTTGTGATAGATATAAAATGTAAAATTTTTCTTATTTGTATTTTATTTGTGAATTGTTTATTTTAATTTTAGTGGTTGTATTTTAATGATAATGGTGATAATATTTTAATATTCTGTATTTTAGGTGAATTGGATGATAATCTATTACCTACTGGAAAGGAAGCTGTGAAGGCAGAGGACTTCATGTTTGATGATAAAGAGGATTATTTCAAGAAAGATGAGGATGCAAGAAAAGATCCTGCTCGACCAGGCACAACTAAAAGAAGACTATATTATTTTAAAAGAGTAAGGTTTTTTTTAAAAAAGGAAAAACAAACTATCTATTGCATTGAAAAACATATTTTTTAATCATCTTTTATATTTGATAAGTTTCCTTTCGGGAAAAAATGTGTAGGTACATGTACACCGAGTTGTAGCAGCTGGCGCTAATTAGCCTTCTATGCCAATTCGCTGTAAGCAGTTACAATTTGAATGTCAACCTCCATACATATATTTCCCCCATGAAATAAGGATAAAACCACGCTGCTCAATCGATTGTAATAAATTAGTTATCTTACTGTTTTGCTAACAAAAAACTGCTAGTTTATAATACGAGAACACAAGGCCTGGAGTTCAAAGGGTTAACTGTTTAATTATAAGCATTTAAATTCTTATATTTTCTATAATCAATCTATAATAGGAGTTGTAATTTTTCCCAACAGTTTTACCTTTAAAAAAATCCCAAAGAAAAAAACTTAAATTGTTTCACTTCTGAACTTTTCTTTATCAAAAACTCCCTCTAACTTTTGGGATAAAAAAGTTTCCCTCTCTTAATTGTTTCACTTTAAAACATTTCTTTATCAAAAACTGCTTCTAACTTATGGGTTAAAAATAATATTCTTTTTTTTATAGAGAAGAAAAGAGAATTCATTTATTAATCAGTTTTGCTCACTAATCTGCATAGAAATTTATTTTGGGTAGTATTTTAGCTTGCAAAAAATTTTTATATTACCAGCTATGTTTTAATGAATTTGTATGTTTTTCTCACTTTTCATTGTTTAAATCCTTCTTTGCCATTTTAGAATTTATTTGTAACATGGATTTAACTGAAAACTTGCATTATTTATTAGGTTGCAGATGCACTTAAGAACAGTGCACCTTCTCCTAGTTCACCTTGCTACTTGTATGTTTTTGATATGAAACTGACATGCCCCATACCTGAAGAACAAAATACAAGAGGTCGAAAAATACATGATCCATCAGATACAGCGAGGGGATTCGGAATCTTAACAGGCAAGATTATACCGCCTGTAATTATATTTTTTTCCTATTAAAAATCTAAATTTTTGTATTTTAAATTAGTAATTATAAGTGGTATTTTCTTTTCAACACTTCATATAAACTTATAATGGTAATACAAAGCAATAAAATTTTCCTTTAAAAATACTTCTACCTCTGTCATAAACAATTGTTAGCGCCAATTGTCAGAGATGCCAACTGCTCCGGACATGCCAAAATAATTTTAAAAAACGGTAAATAACTGCAAAGTAAATTTTGCAAATATTTTACTGCTTTTGCTTGCTTTTTATAAAGTGTAGCATCACATAAGTGCTGTAAAGTGGTGAATTATATAGGCCTACAAATTATTTAGAAATAGTGGTGGATAAAAATCTACTAAATTGAATTTATTAAACCAAGAATCACAATTGATAAAGTTGGCATCTCTGAATTGTTTTTGTTTATTTTTTATGTAGCATTATTTGACTTTGTTTTTTATAAGTTTCAAAAAGTTGATATTCTTATAATTTGAAAGTTTTTTAGTTGCAAGAGAAAAATATTTTCCTTAAAATATCTATAAGAGCCTGTTCACAGCAAAATGTAATTATTAAAAAGAATTGAAAATTGTTTGAAATGGTAAAATTATTAAAAGAAAATGCTTACTTAGTTCATTAATATCTAAATATAATTTAGTGTTCATATTTGGAGCACTGCATTCATTTTCTAATGGATTATTATTCTTCCACTAAGCATTAAGCAAATTCATTAATTAATGGCATTAAGATGATATTACTCATAACTCGTTGTTTTTCCCGTTCTTGACAACAAACTCTTAGTTGTTTTATTACAAGTGCTAAAATTAGCATATTCAACAGTATCCAAATAGGCCATAGGTAAAATAATTTCTCATAACTTAAATTTCCTAAATTTATAATCATTTATTATTATCTAAATAGGGAAGAGAATTTTTGTATGCAATAAAAAAAATACAGGATCGGGAATCTTTCTTTTTTATTCTGCTATGCAAAAATATTGAAAAACTAGAAGAAAAAAAATCAAAAAAGGATTATAGAGAAAAAGTATGTACATACTTTTTTATTGATTACTGGTTCAAATAGATGTTGCGAGTATTTAATAATGATAAAAAATTTCCATATGGTATCTGGATTATCTTTCATAAATTAAACCAGCACTCATAAATGTTTAGATTTTCATAACTATCCTAATTTAAATATTACCAAACCATAAAGAAACTGCTAAATTTATTAAATAAGAAACACAAAAAAATGTTGTTTTGCTAATGCTAATATATATAGCTATTACAAATCAGTTTGCATTTTTTATTTAAACAAAAAAAATTGTTTCTTCATCATATACTGTCAAACATTAATATATATGTATGTAAAAAAGGTAAAGAAATGTTAGGTTTTCAGAAATATTTTTTTAAGAAAAACAGCAAGTCTCTGAACAAAAAATGAGACACCCCTATAAGGAATTGTGAAAAGTTTAATTTAATAGTATTAAAACTTTGTGCCTGGACTTGATAACCTCTTGAATTCACCTTGTCTTTGCTGGTATTTAACATTCAGTTTAAGTTACACACTGACAATTTCTGCATACATATTCATCAAATTGCAAGGATACTGATATCAACATTTTACCCCAGTTACAACTTGTCCCACAATTTTTTTATGAGACGTATGCCAGTTGACTCATGTGAATTGTGATAGGGTGTGTGAGAATTTATAAAACCATTTACATATTTTCCCTGCCTAATGAACTTTGCTATGATCATGTTGACAATAGATGTATCAGCAACATAGGCATGACATCAGAAAAATATTGACTGAAAGACAATACTTGATAATTTGAATTGTTAAAATAAGCATGCAGATTCGTGCTAGTGGTCACCTTAATGTGATTTTTCAATCCATATTAAGAAAAACATCCCCAAAACAACACAGATCCACCTACAGCTTAATGAGGCTTGTCATAATTTCTTTAGGGTTGAGTAGTTTTTAGAGTTTTCTACCTTAGATTTTTTTATTGATCATCGTTAAAAATTGTTGTCGTTTATTTTTGTGTGAAATCTTTTTTTTTTTTTTCAATGGCAATTTCTAATTGTGAATGGTTTTAAATTAATCGTTCGACATGTTTGAAGGAAATTAAATATATTGTCGAAAAATATCTAAGAATGTTAATGTTTTTTGACCTTGAAAACTATATTTTTAAGTTACTTTTTAAATCTTTCTTTTTAACTCTTATTTGATGCATCAAAATATTTAATTTAAGACAGATTTTATTTCTGCAAAGGACTAAAGATTAAAAAGAAAAAGCAATGATTAAATTCCATAAAGTTTTAATTATTTACTATTATTTAGCAGCTAAATGGTTTCTCATATTCAACTTTTAATAAAAAAGGAATTTTGTACAAAAAATAATTTAAGGTCTTTGATTCTACTTATCAAAGATTACAATTTTAATTTTTGAATCTTAAATTACTTTTGAATCTCTGTACTATTGTTATATGTATGTTAGAATGAAATATTATGTCTTTGTAATTCGATGTTTTGTAGCAAAAACTATATATTTCTAGATTTTCTTTCATTGTCTACTTAATGATGTATCTTCACTGAATATATTTTTTTCAAATGTAGATTTGCAGTTTTCCGGTTTTTACAAGATCTGGTGAAGTTACTGTGAGTCTCAAGCCTATATCTTATAACTTCACTTTAGAAGAGGAAAAACTTGATGCTCTTGCTTTCTTTCATCGATATACATTCTCTGATGTTTTAAGACTTGAAAAATACCCAATGAGTTACAAACCATCTGAATCTGAAGCCTCCTATTATGTAGTTCCCATTACATTAAGTAAGTACATTAATTTTCCGATATATTGATATTTTAATTTCATGGTATTAAGTTACTGTATTTTTTTTTCTATTTTTTTATAGACAATGCTGGAAATTGTGTGATTGATTGGCCATTTGTAGATTTGATATTTGAACAAAACACCAAGAAACCACAAAAAGCTTCTGAGAATGAAAGAAAAAACTTTAAATTCATAACTGATGATTATCAAGATGCAGTGGTGATGCCCTGGTATCGTAATTTAGACAAACCACAATTTTTTTATGTTGCTGAGATTTGTACCAGTTTAACGCCTTTAAGTGAATTTCCTGATAACGAATATGATACATTTGCAGCTTACTATCAAAAAAAATATGATATCATGATAATGAATCATAATCAGCCTTTACTAGATGTTGATCATACTTCTGCAAGGCTGAATCTTTTAACGCCAAGGTATGTGAATCGGAAAGGAGTTACTTTGCCCACTAGTAGTGAACAAACTAAACGTACAAAGAGAGAAAACCTACAACAAAAACAAATCTTGATTCCTGAACTTTGTACTGTTCATCCTTTTCCTGCATATCTTTGGAGAAAGACTGTATGCTTACCGTGTATATTGTATCGACTAAATTCATTGTTACTCGCTGAACAGTTACGTTTGGTAGTTGCTAACAGTATACCAATAGGTGTACAAAACTTACCCTCCGATTTTCAGTGGCCTCCCTTAGATTTTGGTTGGACTCTTGCTGATATTCTAAATTCCCAGTCAACTAACAAAGAGAACGAGACTGAACAGCAACTAACTAAATATGTAAAGAATGAGAATGTGAAAAATGGTTATTTTACTCCTAAGCCTACAAATTTTTCTAATGAATCCAACTCAGTGAATAATTTTGAAAATACTTATAATAATGACTTGATGGACTTTGAAATTGATGTATTTGATCCAACTAAAGTAGTGATACCTGATGATGACAAGATGAGTGAATATCTCTTAGATCAAGAAATACAAGAGGCATTTGGTATGGATAACTCTTTAGGTAACATAGATAATATGTTTTCTTCTAATCCAGTTTTTCCAGTTCCTTTGTGGCAACCTATTTCAGAAGAGTGTGAAAATGATGAAAGATCAGTTGTTAGATACGGTTCACCAAGCAACTTTGAAGATTCAAATTGGGATTCAGAATGGGATACTGAAATTAACGACAATCCATTTTTAGCTGTGAATTTTCGTGGCTTAGGCTATATATCTGCACCTGGGGTAAATATGCAAAGTTTAACAATGGATTTAGCTACGTGTAAGGATGATGAAATGTGGGATAGTATGGATGAATCATCTGTGATAAGTGATGATGATGAAAATTTTCCAATAATTACACATTTTGAAACAAATGAGCAGACAGAAAAAGAATTAAAAGCTTTGCCTAAAAGTACTAAAACTTATGAAGAAATGTCTGAATGTAGCTGGCTCACTTTTCATACTTTGAAAGATGAATCCCCTGAAATGCTCTGCAGTTCTGATGCTGCCAGCTGTGTTCCAACTTCTATTACAACAGTAAAAAATAACAAAAAGAAAGACATTAATTATTTAAATTCTGCAGTTGACTCTAAAGATACAGTTGAAAATTTATCCCTAGAAAACCTGCTTCAAACAGCTTTCCAAGCTGAAAGTTCGTGGCTATCTGATGCCAATATTAATAATAATGACACTGAATCTGATTGTGACAATTTTATTTTGAATGGAAGAAACACAACTAGTGGCACAAATTCTGAACATACCCTAGCTTTTGGTGAGCTTCTTCCAAATAGGGAAAATCATCAATTGTATGATAATATGAACCGTGTGAGTTTTGATGACAATCCTGATTTATCTAAGCACCCTGGTCCAAGTCCAAGCATTATCCTTCAAGCTCTCACCATGTCTAATGCTAATGATGGTATTAATCTTGAACGTTTAGAAACTGTGGGAGACTCCTTTTTGAAATATGCTATTACAGTTTATTTATTTTGCACCTATCCAAATATCCACGAAGGAAAATTGTCTTATTTAAGAAGCAAGCAAATTAGTAATTACAATTTATACAAGTTAGGCAAGCGTAAAGGACTTGGAGAGTTAATGGTTGCTTCCAAATTTGAACCATATGATAACTGGCTGCCACCTAATTATGTAGTTCCAAAAGGCTTAGAAGAAGCCTTAATTGAATCAGGGATTTCATCAGGATCCTATAATCTGGGAAACTTGAAAGATCTAACTCAAATGAGTGAGGAAGAAGTTAGGCAAACTGTCCTTGAGAAAACTGACAAAAGATCGTTAGAAAATGCATGTGACTTTCCTCTTGAAGTTCCAAATGGATCTTCTATGGTGCCATACAATTTACTTACTCAGCATAGTATACCAGACAAGAGTATTGCAGATTGCGTAGAAGCGTTAATTGGAGCGTATTTAGTGTCATGTGGATCCAGAGGTGCCTTGTTATTCATGTCATGGTTAGGACTCAAAGTTTTACCTGTGATCAAAGTCATGGATGATAATAGTTCAAACGAGTATGGTTTTTTAACACCCCCTCCATCTCCCATTTTAACTAGAGAACCCAAATCAGATCTGAAGTTAATGAAACTGTTGAATGGTTATTCTGCTTTTGAGGATAAAATTGACTATTCTTTCAATGACAAATCATATTTACTTCAAGCTTTTACTCATGCCTCTTATCGTTATAATACTCTTACTGATTGTTACCAAAGACTTGAGTTTTTAGGTGATGCTGTGCTTGACTATCTTATTACTAGACATTTATATGAAGATCCCAAGAAGCATTCTCCTGGTACACTGACTGATTTGAGATCAGCTCTTGTAAACAACACTTTTTTTGCATCATTGGCTGTAAAATATGACTTCCACAAGTTTTTTAAGTCTATTTCCCCTGCATTGTTTAATGTAATCAACAAGTTTGTCCAACTAAAAGAAAACAATGCTCGAATGGAAGATTATTTGGTAGGCAATTTTCTTTACATACAATTTTCATCAATGTTATTATGTTATATTTAGCTGAAGTCATTTTTGTTTTAAAAAATTGGGTTTTAAAATAGTTATTTATTTTTTAATATTGCACTTGTGACAGAAAAATATACAAAAATAATTCTAAAATAAAAAATTAATTCAAAAATTTCCATTATAGGAACAACCCTGAACATAAATTGACCATATTGTATAACCACATCAAAAAACTGATCAAACTTTTGCTTTTTAATTTCATGTTGCATGAAAAAAATCTATTTTCTCCTTAACTTATTTATTCTAAGCTGTTTATTGTTGCCTATATATTTTTCCTTAAGTCAATTTTAATGTACTTTTTAGAGTTTTTCTGAATTTTTCCAAACTTTTTTATATAATGGAGGAGAAACATGAGAATTAAATGTAAATTTTTTAAAACTTTAATATTTTTTTGAAATAAAAAAAAAAAATTCTTATCTACAAGAACAAGTATTCAAAAAAAAAAGAATTTTATTTGGAAAAGCATTAGGTTTTAAAATTGCTATGCATTTATATATTTTTTAATATTTCACGGAAAAAGTTGACATTTTTTACATTGTGATTTTTATTTCCTTCTTAACTTGATACTTTAGGATGCATATTACTTAGAGGAAGATGAATGTGAAGAAATGGAAGATGTTGAAGTTCCTAAGGCATTAGGTGATATTTTTGAGTCAGTTGCTGGTGCAATTTATTTAGATAGTAACATGTCATTAGATACTGTATGGAGGGTTTATTACACTATGATGAAACCAGAAATAGGTATGTATTATGGTTTCTATTTTTTTTTTAATAAATGTATTTGAGAGAAGTAATCCTTTGTAAAGTAATAGCCATTTTATTTTAGAGTTTTAAACTTTACCATATTTTATAAATATTAGAAATGGTAGAGATAAATCTAAAAATAGGCTTCCTTAATCTTGTGCAATCTATAATTAAATTAATTTTTTCTTTAATTAATTACTATTTTTTGAGCAATTACTTAAATTAACATTATAAAATGTTTTATCTTTCAAAATGGCAAATTTGTTGTAAGTTATTATTTTTCTCTGGGATCTACCATGCTATATTTTAAACATAAATAATATATAAATGTTATACAGAAACTTTTATAATCTGAGTGCACCTGTTTTGCTATCACAAAATTCTCCATTGATTTTCTATTTAGATATATCTTTCTGTATTAGTCTAATATAATGAGACCGTAAAAATATCTTTTACGCATCTGAAACCTGGACCTTGTCCCAAGCTGTTGAGAAGACCATCGCTGCTTTCGAGAGGAAGATACTCCGATCCATTTTTGGTGGTGTGTGTGACAAGGGAGTGTGGAGAAGGAGAACCAACTCTGAACTCTACAGGATATTCAGAGAACCGGACATTCTGAAGTACCATAAGATCCAGCGCATGAAATGGGCCGGACACATTGTAAGAATGAGAGATGACAGAACAACTAAAAGAATCTTTTTGGCAAGGCCAACTGGAGTTAGAAAGAGAGGCAGACCTCGACTGAGATGGGCGGATTGCCTCTAAAGGGACTTTACCACAATCAAGGTCAGAGACTGGAAAGCCGTGGCACGCAGAGGAAAGGACTGGTGCAGTCTTCTTGAGAAAGCCAGGGTCCACCCAGGACTGTCGAGCTACTAATGATGATGATGATGAAAAATATCTTTATTTAGTTCAAAGTTATCTAATCTAATATTTATTCTATTTATATTTTATAAATGTAACTTCCAACCTTATATATATATGTATTTAATTTGTCATTAACATGAGAGCAGTAAAATTAGTCGCAAACTTCTTAGTCATTTTCAAATAATTAATGGATTTTGGAGGGGAAAAAACATTTGTTATTAGTTTTTTTTTTTTTTTTTTTTTTTTTTTTAATAAAAAAATTTAGTTTCCAATATGTAAGTTAACTTTTTGCAACTGTTAATTACAGCGAGAAATGAGAGGACACACAAGCTATAAAATTTCTCTTGAAGATTTTTTTCCTGAAACAAAATGATTGAGATTTAGTTTAAAAATTTACCTGATCTATAATGGAATACTGTTAGTGAACAATCAGGCTACTGGATACTGCTATTTAATAATTTTATTATACTTTTGATCCTTGAATTATGGTTTACTAAAATGCATCATTTAATGCTTTTTAAAAAGTATGTAATGCTTTATAAAATTTCTTTTATAAAAATGATTATACTATTGAACAGAATTTATATGTATTCATAAAGCATTTGTTTCGCATATGATAAGTTTGAATGCTTTAAAAAAAGTTATATTTATACATAAGTTTTACTTATTTTTTATAAATCTCTCACAACCAAAAGTAGTTCATTGTTATTGTTTGCTTCAACTTTTATCAATCTCATAAACACTTAGAACAATTTAATACTATTTAAAACAGTGTATGAAAGCAAAACTTTTTTCTTCATTTTTATTCCTACCAACATTTTCCTAATATTGTTACATGCAATAAGAATGTATTTGCTGTCATTCATAATATATTTGTAAAGTTTAAATTATGTTTTTAGCCTGTTATTTATTTATCTTGTGTCTAAATCTTTATTTCTAAAGGCATTTTTTAATTATTATCTGTTTTGTTACTTTATAGAATATTTTAGTAATCATGTTCCTAAGTCACCCATCAGAGAACTTTTAGAACTTGAACCTCAAACTGCAAAATTTGAGTAAGTGCTTTTATTGAATTTTTTGTTAAGACTACTTACAGATTAAAATAATGATCAAAATTTGTATTACTTTAATTAAACACTAGAAAATAGACCATTAAAAGCAAAAAGAGTAGTAAAGGTTTTAATGATTGAACAAAATTAACAATGAATGATGTATTAAATAACGTTACTCACTGTAACAGCTACCATTTAAAATTCAGCTCCTAAACCAGAGAAGAGAAATGTAGTACTCTCTTCTTTTTGATGTTAAAAAAGATGTTCTAATATGCTCATATTAATTTGGGTATTATTATTAAGAAATTAAGGTGAAAAATATTCTTATTGAATTCCAGGCTTCCCACAGACAAGTAAAACCTAAACAAACCATAAAATTTGATTTTGACAACAACAAAAATCAAGGGTTCAATTAAAAAAAAATCAAAGTGAAAATTTTGTTCATCTGCTACATTTATATATTGTATGAATATCACTATAATGTAGTTAAAATTATTTTATATTAAATCGAATTAATATGATTGTTCAAAAAAACTATGGGAAAATCACAATCAACTCCGGAAATTCTTAAAATATTAACGATTTATAAAATGACCCCTCAAAATTTTAACTCGAGTGTGTTTATATCCATTATTAGACAAAACTGATTTAGATAATCAAATCTTAATGAGTGAATTAGCATAATTTTTTTCATGTCATTGGTACTATTTAAATAAATAATTTTAGTTAATAATTTTGTTTTTTAAAAGAAGATAATTATCAACATTTTTAAAATCATCTTGAACTTGAAATAAGAATTAATAACAAATTAAATAAATTAGTATTAGTATACACATAAATATTTTGCTTATTTATTCAATTTTGTTTAATATAACAAAAAAATTTTAGTGTGAAAAAAACTTAAATTAAGATGCAAAAATTCAACAGTTTTGAAACAATTTTCTGCATTCTTCATAAATTATTTTTTTATATTAATATAATATGCGAATTTAAATTATTTTACAATTAGAAGCTAGCTAATATAAATCATTAGAATTTAAAAAAATTTGAAATTTTACTCTGGAAATCTCAGGGAATTTGTTTTTTTTTTTCTGGGGAGTTTCGGCCATGATAATCTGAACTTTAAAACATAATAGTACGTAGTTTGAATTTTTTCTTAAAAACTGCCCCATATGGTATCTTGTTAACATTCAGTGAGTTGAAATTCTAAATTAAAGAAGTCTAGAACAACAGTATTTTATTAAATTTACTGTAATTCTACATAAATAAGAGACTACTGAGTCTAGTACAAATGTCTAAAAAGAAATCTAATAAATTTTGAAACCTAAGGTTTTTTTCAAGTTTTAAACAATGAAGGAGTATAAACTTAATCTTTATAAGTTCTCTTGGAACTCTGTCATTTTTATAGTTTTCTAATAAATATTTTTACCTCATAAAAAATTTAAAGTTTTTTTTAATTTTACAAACGAATTTAATTTTTTTAAAATTTAATATATAATTAGATTTATAAATTTGGGGAAAAGAAATCTGAACAGGTAAAGGAATCATCAGTTTTAGTTGAAATATTACTGCATTGTTATAACTTACGACATAAAAAAAAATTCTGTTGAGATTTTATTCTTTAATTTTTGTCTAAAGCAACATAAATAATTTCTAATTCTATATTAATTTATAGAATTAGGAACTGTAATGTAGTTGGCAATGTAAATTATTATTTCCTTTCAACGTGCTAATTGATTTTGTACGTACTTGTAAAATAAGTTCTTAATTAATTAAATTTCCAGGCGTGCAGAAATGACTGTAAGTGGAAAAGTTAGAGTTTGTGTTGATGTATTTGGAAAAGGAAAATTTGTTGGTGTAGGCCGCAATAAGCGCATAGCTAAGTCCACAGCTGCCAAGCATGCTTTGAGAGAACTCAAAAAGCATAAAAAATCATGAGGTAAGTTGAAGTAGTAGTTATTACAATTTAGCAAGTCTGTATTGAATATAATCTATAGGTTTTATGATACACCATTTAGTCATTTATGAGATTTAATATTTTTTTAAATGAAAAATTTTTAAGTACTGAATAGTTTGGAAATCATTAACTCAAAATTTTGTTCATTTTTTTAAAAATGTGTATCTAAATTTATTTTAAATAAATGAAAATTTCCTGAAACTAAAAATTTCGACTAAAGCATGAGTGTAACCTGTATAATGTTAAAAAGGACAATAAAATTGATTACTGTTAGAAATCAGGCATTCTGTTTTCTTTTTCTTATCTTTATAAGTTAACTTTTTATCATGTTATTTCTTGAAAAGCTAAATTTAGATAAAAATTTTATTTATTAAGCATATCTAAGTCTAATTTTTTTTTTTACATTATAAGGGTTCAAACAAACCCCCTCCCAAAAAAAAAATATATAGTGGAAATATAGAGAAAAAAAATTTTATTTATAAATTCTGAAAGAATCAGTAGTAATTTAAATTAAAATTTTTACATTAAACAAGAGTCAGTATTTCTAAAACTAACTGCAAATTAATTCAAATAGCAACTGATTTGAGTGTAAAAAAGTTTAAACTTTTTGCAAACAGGCACCTAAAGCTTGCTTAGTCAAGCATGCTTTTCTTACTTTTTTAATTCATTAAGGATCAAAAAGCGTTTAAATTGTAATACAGTACCACTCTCATTATAAAGGACGATCTATTTCTTAGTTATATTATAGTTTTAATGCCCAATGAGTTAGACTGAGAAGTTTTCTGATCATTTATCATTAAGCGAAAATAGTTTGTTAAAATATGCTATATTTTACATAATGTGTTATTTTCAATTATTTTGTTAGTTTCCTAGTTCTTTTTTCAATAATCTTAGATTCATAACTAAAATTTGACTTATTATTTGATGGGGTTTTTTTTCTAACCTCTTGTCTTTTTTCCACAGGAATTTTTATACTAAATGCAGATGCTTAAATTTGAAAAATATCTACTCTAATAAATACTAAAATACTACGAAATAAGTGTGATAAATCATAATAATTTGCTCGTTTGTACAAATAGTTGTTTTTATTTTTAATGTTTGTTACTATTTAAATACTTATTTATAATGTTTATAATGTAACCATACTATTATTATATATTTTAAAAGTTTTCAACTTGAATGAATTGTTTATTTTATCTTTCTTCCCGAGTTTTGATGAATGTATTATCATTAATGAATTATCCATATTATTTTAATTAAGTTTTATTTTCTTATCACCTAAATTCCTTATAATATTTTAAATGTTATTGTTTAGAGAAACCAAAATTTATATCATAAGACTGTTTTCATCTAATATGTTAAAATATATGAAATTGTTCATATTATATTAGAGAAATATGTTAAAACTATTGGCTTCTTAAATTTGAAAAACTTATTAATTAATACTATAAGTATGTAACTAAAAGGTAGTTAAATGTATGATTTTAAAAATCGAAAAAAAAGCTGTTAATCATGATAATAATAGTAAAAAAAGACTTGGTTTAAACAATTTTAAAAGTAGTACATTTTAAATTTTTTCCCTCTAAATTTTCAATATTATAACTTTTCTTTAAAATAAGTTAAGACCATAACACTTATTAGACTGGTAATCTTTGAAATGAAATCTTTCATAAGTTGTTCAAAATTTTATTGCTAATTTCAGCATATTTTTCTTAAAAGAAAATAATTTAATTCAGAATTTGCTTTAATTTTAACAGTAAGATGCAAAAGCTTTAATGTATTTAAAATAATGAATTTCTTAAATGACAGCTTGTATTGCCTACTAGTTTGTACAATATGATTTAAAAATTTTTTAAATATATATCGTATTATACTTCACATTGATATAAAATTAACATATTACACTCAATAAGTATTAGGGGAATGGTTTATATGGTTTGTACATGAGGGATTAACTACACTTTTCTAAGTCTTGTCATATCCTTTACATTAAAATACATGAAGCTCTAGTTAAATAATTATTAATTGCAATTAATTCTTGAATAGAAGATCCGAAATCGCCCATAAAAGGTGATTAGGAGTTACAAAAACATTTTTTTATATCTTGAACTATCATATAAGAGTTCTTCATTATATCAGAACCTTATTTAACACATAAGAGTGTTTTTTGGAAGAATCTAAACAACCAAGTTGGGCCCTTTATTCCAGAGAAAGTAAGAATGCAGGAAATGGTTTTTTTTATACGTAACTCAGGAGAATGGAATAATTTTAACAGCTGTGCTGTTCAGCTGATTTTATTAACTTGGTCCTTTGGTTCCAGGGAAAGGGAAAATGCAGAGAATGGTTTTTCTTATACATAATTCAGGAGACTAGGGTAATTTTAACAATAGTGATTTTTTTTCTTCTGTTCACTTAATTTTATCAATCAAATTTGGCCCTTTATTCCAGAAACAGTGAAAATATAGAGAATATTTTTTTTATACATAACTTAGGAGAATGGGATAATTTTAACAGCTGAGAATCTTCTGTTCAGCTGATTTTTATCAATTAAGTTTGATCCTTCATTCCAGAGAAAGTGAGAATGCACAAAAAAAAATTTCTTTTGCTTAACTCAAAAGACTGGAGAGATTTTAAATCATTCCTGCAACTGCCTGTTGAGGACCAGGAAGTTGTGGAGGTTGAGACTCTACAATTTAGTGACCAAAGTTCATAAGGGTGATAATGTGGTCACCATTGCATACAGACGGCATTTACTTCCCAGACAAGCTAATAACTATTGATCTGAAGGAAGTGCTTCAAGTCGCCGCTGTGAATCGAATCCCAGTCCTTCACAATCTAGAATATTTTAGCAATAAAAAATATGTTTCTGTTCATCTGATTTTTTTCAATCAAGTTTAGCTCTTATTTACAGTAAAAAGGGGATACGGGGAATGGTTTTTCTTTCGCATAACTAAGAAGAGGGGCAATTTTAGCAGTAGTGAATTTGTTTCTGTTTCACTGATTTGATCAATCAAGTTGGGTCATTCCAGGAAAAACGAGAGTATAATGAATGGTTATTGTTATACTTAACAACTCTGGCAGCTAGGTTAATTTTAGCAGTAGTAAATCTGTTTCTATATGGTTGTTTTTAGAGGAAAATGAAAGTTGTGTATTTAATTATTGGAATGATAGTTATTAGTACTTAATTTACATAAAATTATATTTATATAGATCAAAGATACATATTAGTATTAAATTCTAAAAACAGTTGTAAAATTTTAAATGCCTCTCAATTTTACCAAAAAATATTTAAATAAATTCTAAAAATAACATATTTCCCTGCCTTTTTATTTTATCATGTATATATATGTATATATATTAAATAATGCATAACACATTTTCGAAATAAGAAAAGGGTATTGATATTTTTATTATTCTCCATAGGTTAAAACTGTTTTCCTTTTCGACTCTAACAATGTTTAAAAAATTTTTCCCCATTGAAATAAAAAATAAATTACTTTTGGGCCAGTTTTTTAAGTCAATGACAGAAATTTACCATTTGTAAACACCTTTATGCTTTTTGAAATAGATTATATGTATTTTTTTTGTAAAATTCATACCATATTTCTTACTACTAGTTAATATTAGTTTAATAGTTATTTATTTTTAACGCTACATCATTTACTTAATGATTGTATAGTTACTTTATACCATTTATTAAGAATTTTCTGTTATTTTTTAAAAATACTTTAATGTGGCAGAACTTTTTTGCTTCTTGTTAACAAGATTTGATTTACTAATTGAGAAATGATTTTGCTACTGACCAATGCTTATATGGTACTGCAATACTAATTGCAGAATATTGGCAACATTGATTCGTTTTTGAGAGGTTAACTTGAAATATAAATTATTCCTTACATTTTTGAGCAAACTAGTAGAAAATTGCAGTATTCATAATGGATTAATGTAATTAAAAAATCGTTCCTTATAATAATTTTATGCAAATTTCGTATTGTTTAACAATAATTGAAATTATATATAATAACACTGAGTAAATGAAAATAATTTTTGTTATATTTTAATAAATATTATTGAACGTTTTCATGCTTGCATTTATCATTGAGTGTGTGAATGTGTTATATTTTATCCTTTCTAAACATTTTGACAAATATTGAAGGTAGTTAATGTGTTAATTTTATTATAAATCAAACAAATAATACTTTTTATTTATGAATGTCAATGAATAAATAAATAAATATTATTGAAAACTTTTTATTTTAAAATTGTTTATTTAATGTGATTTATTTTGGGACATATTACGTAAAACGGCTTACAAATCACATTTATTATAGCCAAGTTAATAGATTTTATGGTACTTTACTATTGAAATGCCTTTTATGAGCTTATTTTTAGTTTTTTACTACCTGGTTTAAGTGACTTTTTAGTTAGGGTTTCATTAAGGTTCAATTATTTGGTTTTTATTAATTCGGAAATATTTGCAATAAAGTGTGTAATAAATAAAATGTGTGGTTAAAGTTTCCCATGCTATAAAATAGTCTTATTTATTAACTGTTATTTAATTTATATCATGTTGTGGAAATATTTTTATTGTGCTCAAAATACATAAAACTTGCTCATTGCTGATGAAATCACTGATTTAATATTTCATCACCTTATGCTCAGCCATTGACTTATTACCTATTAATATATTCAATTATTTGTACATATTTATGACAGCAATAAAATCTTTTTCTACTGTTACATTTTAGTATTATTTATTTTCTTTAATATACTTAATTTTTTGTCATGAAACAATATGAGACTGCTTCAAACCTCTATTTCTAATTTTTAAAAAAAATCCTCAAGTTTTTCCTGGCTATCTAAGTCCAATATTTTTTTCTAAATCGAGTTTTAAAATAATTAGAAAAGGGATTCATCAAATTTGTAATTGAAAATTTGTTAAACGAATTAATATTGCATTAAAAAATAGAGATTTTGCAAATCATTTGAAACTCTGTAGTATTAACTACTGACTGAATTTACAGTAGCATAGCTAGGATTTATAGTGCCTGAGAACAAACTCAGGTTTTGCTCCCTTTACAGACATAAAAAGGTGCGCCCTGGTGTCAGACATAAAAAGGGGCTTAACCGAATCATTTTAAGTTATAGGTAATGTAAAAACTTAAATCGATTGCAAATTACATAATGCTGGCATTTTTCTCTGGTTATTAAAAATTTTATTCAGAAAATCTGCCATGACAAATGAATTTACTTATCAATCATTAGTCAAAAATTTGCATAATGAATAATGACTAAATATGCAATTTGAATAATCATTCTGAATAAATTTATTTTGACTAAATTTAGTCATAAATGTAATTTCTTTAAATGATGTCCATCTCTGATTCTTACTCAAACTTTATGATCCATCTATATCACATAGGGCGACAAATAATAATTTAAATCATGACATTCATAAAAAAAATCATAGAAATATGAAAATTCAAATAGATTTTGCAATAGACGAAATTCGAAGTTCCCTCTGGAATAGAACTACACTTCTGTTATTCATAATAGCAGTGTATTTCTTTATTAAAATCCACACGAAACATATGTAATTTATATGGATATTAAGGTTGGTAGGCCGTTGAACTCGTGTTCGTGACAACCGAAATTCGAATCCAGCTGGCCGAAGAATTGTATTATTGTGTCTTAAATGGTGACTAGTGCACATTAAATTTGTCGGGGTCAGAAAGTCCTCCAGGTTCCAATAACAAATCAGTGCCTCTGGAGGTACTGAATTGGAGATAGACTTAGACTTAGAGGTTGGGCAGCTCTGACAAGCAGGGCACATCGACCAGAGGTCTATTGTACCCAAACCCTAAAATCATGATTAGCATGAAAGCCCTATGGCTGAAATAAAATTCAGCAAGCACCTTACAGGAACATCTTGCAGTTCCCAGGCATTGACGATATGCTGCCCTAAATGCTCAAATCTTTGAGCAGAATAGACCTCACAATCACAGAGTATGTGTCGTGATGTCT